GAACTTAGCAAACTGCTTCACATTGATTATATACTTCGGATCATTTGAGTCCGCGTTGATGATTTTTGTGCATCTTGCTACCTGTGTTTGAAATCAAATATTAAAGTAAGAATATTGGTTAGGTTATAAAGTGTCTCAAGATAAATAATGGTATGTAGATGATGCTAGTCTTCGATCAACAATAGCAACTAGATAAAGGGTTACGTACAGAATCAAGCTCCAGTTCTGTCCGTGTGAATAATAATAGTAAAAATATAACAAACGGAGGAAAATGTTTTAAGATAGTTTTAAGTTCAACCTAATAACAACCATGGCACCTAATAATAAAGTCATAAATCGTCAAAATATTATCTAATACTTACGACCATTCGTCATATAAGACGAGAAAAGCATTTTCTTACTCCTGTCATGTAGAAATTAAAAGAAATAAGTTACACAATATCTAGTATGAATTCAACCTTAAGATACAACAAATAAAGAAAATTTTTCTGTTATTCCCTTGCGATCTATATCGTTTTGTTTTGTTACGTTTTGCTTTTTCGAATTTCGCTACAGGAGGTATGTATGGAGTCGCGTTGAACACTTAAATAATTTTATAATATGAAAATTAAGATTTCGGGATCTTAGTATACATCAATTATTTTTATTAGCGGTACATTTTTGTGTATGATATTATGTTTATATACTTTATTATTAAAAGTTTAAGTCTGAATCAAAATCATTTATTTCAGTTAGACCAGGAAGGCACTTTTGAACGTCAATAATATAAATTTAAAAGTAAACTATTTGCTCATTCCAAGGTGTAGATTCCTATGGAGAAGAACGAGCAAAAACTCCATAGGTTAGGTACTCTTTTCCAATCAGGTTACAATACAATTTTATTTTACAATACAAATCGACTCCATGCATCCACTGTTCCGGTTAAACAAGTTTGTGCACGTGTTGGCGATGCATGGCCAAGGGATCGCCTACATACGCACAAACATTGGTGGCGTTGGTTTATAATTGGTAATTTTGTATAATTTGATATTATTTACTAGTTTAAAAGCTTAAAATACAACTTATACTTTATGTAGATATCGTAAGTAAGACACTCCGGCCGTTATACTGCTTTTTCGGTTATTATTTTTGCAACTGGCAATTACACACGCAGCATCGTGAGACGTGAGTACGTTGGCCATGTTTGGAGCATACTAAACAAAATAAGAGCTCACTTCTCAAGTGAGCTCTTATTTGTCGAGACGATTTTCTTGCGCCGACCCGATATCTAGTTGCTATTGTTGATCGAAGATGCTAGTCAAAAACTTTTTCAAATTACGGAGACTTGCACAAAATATGGTGAAAATTTTATGTTAATCAACATAGACATAGTCCAGTAGAGATACGAGATAGTAATCTTGATTATTTCATTCAATACAAAACAAAAAATATGATTCACTCTAACTTTATTATCATATAAGTTAACATATTGGTCTGAAGTCTAATTTGAATATGTTGTCAATATACGAACTGTACCTGTAAGGGCTGTTCATTCTGAAGTGTTTGCTTGTCCGCTGCAAGATCCCAAAGGGCAGGTGGAGCTAAACCAGTATCGGATTCCTTAATTCCAGTCAGTTCATTCACTCTCTTCATCACAGTCTGTATACCATCTTCGACCTCCTTGATGATTTTAGTATATTGTCCCTGGCCCTACAACACAAATAAAATCATCAAAAAAATGCCAGTCATCAACACCCTCATCTTTACTTTCAAAAACTTGTTAAATTCACTCACGTATGATTTGAGAAGTGCTATATCTCCTTCGTCGAGGGCTGCAATAAATAATGTATTATGTATGTAGTTATTTTTTTCTGAAAATACAACAAACTCATGGAATGAGTACAGCTAAAACAAAGGATTATTACTTACATTTGATTTCTTTTTCTGGTTCCTCTGGCGCATCCTTGAGTTTACGCATATCATCTCCTAAATGGTCTGGCATTTTCGGTTACTAAAACAGACTTTTTTCTAAAATAATCTCTACCAAATCAAGCAGACGATTTTTCGTCCGTCATCAAATCAATCAACGTTTCCACCGTTTCTTTGTACGCACTACGCTTTGAATTTACTACAGAAGTTCAGACTATAAGTCTGTGACTATAAGTATCTATCGTGGTTACAACGTCGCAATTTTTAGCGTGTATTGGAACGGTGAACAAAACTTTCTGTTCCACGCAGTACTAATGTTAACTAAAATAAAAATAAGAAATGTTGTTTCTTTTTTAATGGAATATAAAATTATATGATTCGGTTTTATACCTGATTTATTGACTGAAATTATAGTTTGCCCAATTAAGGCGGTTGTGGTAAATGATTACACTGTCAATAAAATGTTTTAAAATATCTTCTCTGGAAAGCTTGTAAAACTAATCATGCTAACGATGACAAGCAAATTTAACAACACGTTCAAATTAAGGAAATACATTTGAACTCAATAAAATAAAGTTTTTGATTATTTACTGAGTTAAAACCGAATATAAAACAAAAACTTCATGTGCTTCTTGAAAAATAGTAACCATTAAAATATCTGAACTAAAAGTCATCACCTTTTTCATAACAGATCAAACGCATGAATGCATTGACAAATGTTGTATATGGAGCGCCACCTGACAGCTAATTTCAGTACTAAAATTTTGTATTCGTAGTGCTGAATGGAGAATCACATTTTTTTGTGTTTTCCATGAACATAGTCTTCTGAATTAGCGAATATTTTCTTTTAGGTAAGTGTTAAAAACTATGAATCAGAATTTTGTTCGAATAGGATATAATTTAGAAGAAAAGAAATGGCTGCTTCTATTCGTCCCTCCGGTTATGACCCAAAACCTTATGTCAAAGCCCGGTTTCATTTAACATTTTCATTGTATTACGCGCTTTTTTACATTTAATCAGCAACGTATAATACACATTGGATAATAGCTTTATTCGACTGAACGTGCGTATAAAAATATAGGCGGTAAGTTAGCATGACCGAATGCGTGATGTCCCCGGTATGCGATTGGCATTCGATTCTAGTTTTTCAACAAAAATCTTGGTTTTTATCTTACCGTTATCTTTTATGTTATCGATCAGTCGTAGATCATCTTATTTCGAAAATAATGTGTGAATTCCATGGCGTGACATTGCCATGTTTTGCATTCTTAGAAAAGTGAGTATTGCAATGTTCTTTGTTTTAAAATTATTTATTAATTTACGCAACGCGTCTTTGTGTTCTTGTGGCGTTCTGTAAAAAACAATACGTATTGTTTGTTACATCAGTAGTTTATTAATTTTGTTTAGTGGATTCTTATCAGAAAATGTGTATTGATAACCTTATTTGTTTAACCTTACATTTGGTAATATTTAGTAGTTCTATAACTATTGGCCTCTGGTCCATACACTTCTGAACATCTGGTGCGTATTTTTAAATGAATAATTGTATCACTATCATCACTGTACATAATCTTGATTATTTCCATTATCATTTACCAATAAGATATTGTAGACATGTATGATTGATTGATTGATTGATTTGTGCATGATTTATGATTTGAATTAATCCTAATATTCAATTTATTTCATTGTAAATATTGTTATCATTCCAATTGCCCAACTAATCTGCCATTGTATTAAAACTTGATCAATGAATTTTTATTTCTTAATCTGATTCATTGGTCTTACAAAGCAAATAGTTTACTGTTTACTCTATCATGTTGATTCAGATGTTGCTATCAATATAATGATATTTATAAAAGTGGGTCATGATTATGTCAAATCACTACCAATCTACAAATAAACTAGTCTAAATAGTGCATCATATAAACATCTGTATACAAATATGAAGCATGTATATGTCACTGTTGTTGCTAAAATTTACTATAGACGCGTCACAGAGTGTTTGTATGTACATTACACTTCACGTGGGATGCTTTCTATAAATAACCATTGACAACATAGACTAATGAAAGCACAACACAGTTTCTGTTCAAAGAGTTTTTACTATCAATTTAATTTTAAATATTGCAATTAATTTATCATAGTGATGTGACATGGACAATAAATTTTGTGATAGTTATTGTTTTTGGCAAGATATCTGTAGTGTGACAATGTATTTGATAAATATCTGTGAATGTACTGTGGACTTGTGTTTTATGCATTGTAATGTTTGGTTTTAGGAACTTTTTCTTCAAGGTAACTAGGTAACATCATTGTGTTCGTATTTTTGTTATTAAAATTGACAGTAAAATCAAATGAACATTAGAAAATTCTCAACTATTTAAAATTTCAATCTTTGTTAACTATAAATTTTAAGGACTTACTTATCTGATGCATAAAATGAACAATTGTACATTATAATAATCCAGATATTTTCCACAAAACACCCAATTGGTTATGGTTAGTTGAACAAATAGGCTTATCGTCATCAGAGTGCATGTAATCAGCAATCATTAGTCACTGATATGGAATGGCTAATGCTCAAGTTATAGGCCATTTAGTGCTGTGCTGATACAGTGTTTGGATTTGTTGCTAACTCCCATTCCCATACTGACATACATACTTACAATAAATAATTATTTAAGAAAATAGTTCAAAACCACCTTATTTGTGTCATAAAATACACTATTTCTACATACTTTGCCAGTTAAATTAATCCATGATTAAATATCTGGCAAAAGAGGATCTGTTCTCTATGAAAAAAAAAGAAAGTACTTTGTTTTGCAGGTCATTGAACCAGTCTGAACAAAAACAAAGAAATTAAATTATTACTCATAATGATTTATTTTTATTACTCTTTTAAAACATTATATAGATAATGTCTTTGTATATTTGGATTTTCTTTTTCGCGCGAAACTATCGTCGGTTGTATTATTCAATTATTCTAATTGCAATAAGGGCTACACATGAATTGCGCTACATGAATTAAAAAATTAGAGAAAAACTTGAGAATTAGAATAATACTTCGCCGTCCTTTTCGGAAAATAACGAATTATTTTATGTTATCGAACTGCCGCCATTTCGCGACATATTTGAAATAATTTTACAAGACTACCCTATTTTATGCAAATACATTTTCAATTCTTGTTTTGACATGAGAACTTAACTCAGAACTCATTATTTTTTAATTCTAACTAATTCTATTCTTATCTTCTAATTTCATTTTTCTATTTAGTAGTAACTAAATTCTAATTCCAATGTATACAAAGTTAAGTGACAGCAAAATGGTGTTTGATCTCAACTGTTTTAGGAAGTTATTTGACTGCCAGGTACCTATAATCCATAGGCATTTTGACTTTTATGAATATTATCTGGTACATAGTAAAATAAGTACTGGCACTTAAAGGAATCTTATTTAGCCAACTGTTACTGCAACCATAGTGTAAAATTTTAAATTGGAAGGAGAATGATTCAGTTTAAATAAAAAATACTTTTTTTTTTCATGTAGTGCTGCTGGCGAGTCGGCGAGATGCACACAGCCACTGCAGATGGACAGTTCCGGAGTACCAACGGTGCCACACACGGACGTGACAAGGTCGCCATATTGGATGCTGGTTCTCAATATGGAAAGGTAATAAATATTCAATATGACTTGCTATTCAACACCAATCTCGTGATTTGATGAGTCTTAAGAAAAGCAAATGAAGATATACCTTTCAAATGTACTATAAATAAATAACAGTCTACTACTACCTCCCTGTTCGCTTGGACTTAGTGTGAGTGCCTAGCAATTATTCTCAGCATCAAAGAAATTATGGTCAAAGAAAAGTAAAAGCCACTTTAACCCGTTGAAATCCACCCCCTAAATTTGGTCATACAAAAGTAGTCTCTAAACATTAGAAGAAAGGTCTATAATGTAATGTAATATTAGTGGAAAGCGGTCACCGGTGACCGCTTGGGGATTGAGAAGTTAAAGTAAATTCAACCAATGAATAATAAACGTGATTTTACCTACTGAGTTCCTAATATAATTTGTATAGATTAGGAAAGTTACATAAACTAATCAATTAAAAATGCCCCCAAGAATATGTTATCATGTTTATCAAGGAAGCTCAGGTCAATGTCAGCTAATCAATTGTGCCAAGAAATATTTCATAATGATTTGGTCGACCTATATCATTGTAATAAAATTATTATAGTCATGTTTGCCTATCTTTTTAAAATAGTTTCGTAATAATTAGGTTAATTATTAATTAATGGAAGAATTGTCGTCTCGTGAGATATCCAAATAACTTCTGGTTACTCCATAGGAGACTATACTGCACAGTTGGCGCAATGGCTGGGCAACTGGATGCCGCGCAACTTGTAGATGATTCGATTCCCGCACGAAGTCACCTTTCGTGTTATCCACAAATTGTTGTTCCTGGTCTGGGTGTGATGTGTATGTGAACTTGTATGTTTGGAAACGCACCCATGACACTGGAGAAAATTCTAATTTAGGGCAATATAAGTTTGAAATCGCCAAACCGCATTGAGAAAGTGTGGTGATTAATGATTAATCTTCTCCGTGCAAGAAGTCTTTTGTCCGCAGTGGCCACATATAGGCTGTTGATGACTATTTTCTCCACTGTTTAGGCTTACTATTGTAATTCGCAGTGTAATAAAAATAATCAACTTAGGTACTGAAAATTATGTGGGACAACTTCACACTTCTTGAGGATTTTACTACACTATTGAACCAACAGAACAGAACAAAATCTACTTAGCTGTACTTATTTATAAACGACTAACTTTAAAAAGAACAAATGGTATTTGCCTTATCATGGTAAACTTTTTAACAAGGAAAACAAATTAAAATTTATATGGAACTTAACTTGATTGAATGTCATTGTTCTCTATCGTTGGTTTGGTAACACTTGTGGGTTTTCAGATTATTTCCTTTATGTTACTTTAAAAGATGTGTAATTTTATGTTGGAAATAATTTCTAGTGTAACCATTTTGTCCAATGATTGAGTTTCTAAAAAATATGGCAACAGACTAAAAGTAAAAGTTATGTGATAGCCGGAGAGCCATACCATAGCTATACTAATCCTTTGGGTCTTACATCCTTAATTACCTTGTCCTGTGTTCTACTGATGCCAACTAATCTATCACCTTCTAGTTAAACCATTGAATAATAGTACATTTTTATTACATAAAGAGCAGAGACCCAGAACAAATCACAAAAGAATCATTCTGTACAAGAATCGAACTCGCAACACCTTGCACAATTGCTAAAGTTGTGATATAAAAATGACTAGGTACATTGGAATAAATCATTACCATTCTAAAATAACCTTCGTAACGTTTGCAGGTAATAGACCGTCGTATCCGCGAGCTATGTGTGGAGTCGGACATCTTGCCGCTGGACACGCCAGCCTACCACCTCAAGGAGGCTGGGTACCGCGCCATCGTCATCTCTGGCGGACCCAACTCTGTCTATGCTGAAGATGCGCCGAGATACGACTCCGATATATTCAAGATCGGCTTGCCGGTGTTAGGTGAGTCTTTAGAACCATCATTTTCACCTCTATGTCAGTTAAAAAGTTTCTAAACTGCTATACTACATCAACTTCTTGTTGATGAACGATGGATTAAAATTCTAATGTTTATTTTATAAATAAATGTCAGTTGCAAATGTAGAAACTTGGTTTTCATCGTGAAATAAAACAAACTTATGAAGTTATTCGGTGCTGCGCCTAACTACCTTAATAAAGTCTGACTACTATCCCATTTAATAATGACATTCAACGATCATTTTTGAGATTCAGCGAGGCAACGATTGCCTCGTTGGCCGAGTGGTCGCAAGTGCGGCTGCCGGGCAAGGGGTCTCGGGTTCGATTCCCGGGTCGGGCAAAGTATTACTGGGTTTTAAAAAAAAATCTAGATCGGTGTCTGGAACTGTGCCCGTTATATGGCAATAGGCCCACCCCCTATTACATCGGACTCATAACATAAATAGTGAAAAGTGGGTGTTACATTGTTCAGTGGCATAATGTGCACCTCTGCGTACCCCTTCGAGGATAAAAGGCGTGATGTTATGTTATGTCAACGATCATAAACCTACATATCAGCAGTATTTTGATATCTCCTGCACAATTAAGTGTTAACATAAGTAGGCGTGCTCCATCGTCGGCCACATCGTTTACCGGTGGTCAAACGTCAACCTATCAAGTACAAAAATATATATATATATCTTCATTTAAGACTGGCCACTGTGATCGAACGATTAATCTGACGAAACTCCACAGACAACATTATGCTGAAGAAATCTATAAAAAAATAATAATACAATAACCATAGTCCAATCATTGTACCGCGATAATTGTTAAACTCAATTGCACGAATGCTAGACGGTGACGGTAATTTGTTTAATAACGGTAATTCAGCTTAAATGATTCTAGGTAAAGAATATCTTTACTCGCGTGCAAGCTTTAGAACTACTTAGTTAAAATTAGCAGCTGTTTTAAGTGGCCGTGGATGAATGCTCTTTTCGCTTGCGACTCGCTTTAAAAAGATAAATACATTTATATTAAAACCTTCGTGAGACGTACTAAATTAATTATTATGTTTTCGCCTTAATCACGTAACTGTTTGACGAGGAACTCGACTAGTTTCAAGCCATGTTAGAGGCTCATATTCATAAGTAGCATTCAACGTCGCCTGTCGCGAAGTTACGTGAATAAGCCGAAAATATAATAATAAATACATTTGTTTGTCTTTAGTCTATTAGGAGAAAAAGAGGCATAGAAACGTTTCAATTAATCTACTATATAAAAATTAGTCGGGTTTTCCTTCCTGACGCTATAACTCCAGAACGCACGAACTGATTTCCACGGTTTTGCATTTGTTGGAAAGATCTCGGGCTCCGTGAGGTTTATAGCAGAGAAAATACAGGAAAAAAAATTCTTCGTCTTTTAATTACCAAACGAAATGTCACATAAAACGAAGCCGAAGCCGAAGACGGTGGCGAAACTGAGTTCGCCGGGTTTGCTAGTTTCTTACAGATACCCCTTTAGGATAAGGCCTTTTGATAAATGACTGTATTCCGGCTAATGTTATCAAAATAGAAGAACAAATAATCTATAAACACGGTAAACTTTACTGTGTTATTCACTATACATTTTGAACTGAATCATGTATGGAAATGTTATTCTTTATCAGATCACTTGTCTGTCAGTATGTCACGCACGCTACAATACAAGATTTCTATTCTTATGTAAATATAATAGTGGCAATTATACAGAGAAAGTAGTACAATTCTTCAGTACTAGGTTACTCGAGTTCTCGTTTGTTATTAATGATTTTACTACTTGCAAAAAGTACCTTTCTTACGGTATAATATAAATGAAATAGTCACATTCTCAATACAAATGAAGGTGAAAAATCCTGCATTAAATGACTACCTTGATATAGTAAATTGATTCTTATTAGAATCTTTTAATTATAAAAATTAAATGATTGCAAGAAGATATCCTTAACAATCTGATTAAATCAGTAAAGAATGAAGACTAAAATGTGTAAAAGTAAAATAACCCATGTTGATTAGTATTTTAATCATTTTATATATTAAATATAATAGTTAAAACGTTGCAGCATCAACTTAATAAAGTATTTTTTATTCTACCACTAACTTTTGTATACTGCATTCTGCTGAAGAAAGGCCTCCCCTCATAAGAAGGAAATAACAGTTTGTTAGGGTTGAGTATAGAAGTAAGTCACTTATGCCCGAATAATTGAAACTTAACCCATAAATCCCCAAGCGGTCACCGGTGACCGCTTTCCACTAATATTACATTACATTATAGACCTTTCTTCTAATGTTTAGAGACTACTTTGTATGACCAAATTTAGGGGGTGGATTTCAACGGGTTAACTTAATTGTAAGTCGCGCTTAAGTATAGTTCTGTCACTACAAATCTATATATATATATTAGCGGACCCGACAGACATTGTCCTGCATATCCACTTGAATGTATAAACATAAATTCATTCAAATTAGTTCAGCTGTTTAGGATAAATAACCTAAACATCGACTGCAGCGCCATCTGCCGGGCTGATTTGTAATTCTAAACCATTCCCAGTTCCCCTTGAACACACAAAAAAATTCACCAAAATCGGTCCAGTTGTTTAAGAGAAGTTCAGTGACATACTTACACACTCACAGAGGAATTATATATATAAAGATATATATATAAAGATATATATATAAATGAAACCCGTTTCCCGTTGTCACGGCATAACTTGAGAACGGCTAAACCGATTCGGCTGATCTTCTTTTGTTGTGTTTGTTGTTGTCAGAAAATTCTGAAAATCGAGATTGCGCGTACGAAGTCGCGGGCAGAAGCTAGTTCTTTATAAAATGACAGAGATGGCACGATATTTAAGTACAAATTAAAATTGTGTGTCCTTTCAGTATTCAGGCGTTAATTACTTACCTACTCATATGTTCTGTAGTGACCATCTTGTGACCAATACCTAATGAATTTGTCACTCAGGTATATGCTACGGCATGCAGATGTTGAACAAGGAGTTCGGAGGCTCGGTGCTGCGCAAGGAGGCGCGCGAGGATGGCCAGTACGAGGTCGAAGTGGAAACCACATGCCCATTGTTCAAGTGAGTTATTTTTTCCTTTTTAATTTTAGGGACTTATACCGTACAACGTAAGTCAGTCCCATCGTAGCCTGATAAGTTTTTAAACTAACTAGAGATCAATGAATCAGAGCAGATGAAGAAGATGAAGATTCTATTGATGAAGCGAAAGAGGTATGTAGGAATCGTAGTATTGGGCGTTCCATAGTCTCTGCCTAACCCAATGGGAGACAGGCGTGAAGTTGTGTATGTATGTATTAATCAGAGTAAGTTAGTTTATTGAACTACAGAGGGTTTAGGACGAGTTTCTATTACGTTTACTGAGATTGAAACGAGAAAGATCTCAGTACTTGTCTAGATCATGAAAGAGAGCTAGACAAATTACATAATTTGTGTCATATCACCTTTGAGGCCAACACACTGCATTATTTTGTAACTTAAAACACTGGAAGTGAAAAAATTCACAGTGAATTTTTTCAAACAATTTTCACATAACAAAATTCTTTGGCTTATCATTTTCCAATATCAAAATAATTTTTTATCATCTAAAAATTTTTTTCGTTGTACCAGCATCCGTTTTTTGTTGTCAGTCGCCTTGAGAAGCTCCAACCAGTGCTGCTGACACACGGGGACAGCGTGCAGAAGGTCGGCGAGAGATTCCGCGTCGGCGCCCAGTCCTCAAACCATCTCATTGCTGCTATATACAATGAACAAATGCGATTATATGGCGTGCAGTTTCATCCTGAGGTAATTTATGCATAAAATCTGTTGGACTAGAAATAGGAGATTGATACATCATTAAAATCATCATATAACACACAAAACATCTATGCTGAGCATAGCCTTTCTTCAAAGACTGAAAATGGCTGAAAACATTGGAATGTCACGATATCCATTGTATTTTTAATCAGACAGCTGTAACTTTATCGACTTAACCCATTGAAAATTGTCGAAAATCATCCCCTACATTTGTCCATACAAAAGTAGTCTCTAAACGTTGGAAATAAGGTCTATAATGTAGTTAGTGGAGAGAGGTCACCGGTGAGTGCTTGGGGATATATGGGATAAAGGTCAATGGGTAAATATGCTTGTAGAATTTTAATTCTCCATACTTAGCTATGGAGACTTACTATGCAGTTGCATGGAGCATAAATTCAAGATTTTAATGTCAATGTAATAAAGTTGATGCATTATAAGTTTCGCTACTTTCAATTACATGAGCATTTAAAGAAAGTTTAATCCACATTTCTTCCTCAGGTGGACCTAACGCCGAAAGGCAAGCAGATGCTATCAAACTTTTTGTTTGACATCGCGGGCCTGTCGCGCTCCTTCACGCTGCGGTCACGTCGTGAAGCCTGCATACACTATATACGGGAGACTGTTGGTGACAATAAAGTTCTTGTAAGTATAATATATTAATTTAAGTTTTTTACACGACAAGGCGGCAAGCGACCTGAGGGCCAAGCACGAATAACTATCGCATTCGTATCGTAACAGTATCGAGCGAGTTAAGCGTCTGATTGGTTGGTTCACTTGAGCCGGCCAATCAGAGCACCGAACGCGCTCGATACTATTACATTACGAATGCGATAGTTTTTCGTGCTCGGCACTCAGATCTTCCGATAGTAAGCAATCGGCGCCGCTCATGGACACCAACAACACTAAAAAAGTTACAAGTCCGCCTTTGGGGTCCCCTTTTGGGGGAAGAGGAGTACCTATATCATTTTTTCATTTAGGAAAACAAACAGTTACACAACGTTTTTCAAGTTGTTAACATACCTATTCGAAATATAAAATTACAGACTAATTATTGGTGTTTTAATAGCTATAACAATATGTTTGGTTACCAGGTGTTAGTTAGCGGTGGCGTGGACTCCACAGTATGCGCGGCCTTACTAAGAACCGCTCTCCGCGAAGACCAGGTCATTGCTCTACATATTGACAATGGTAAGTTAGTGATTTTAAAGTCTATTATGCAAATAAATAGTACTTGTCCTTAATCGCAGTTGATCAAGGTCCGCTATAAACGTAAACCCAATGGCACTTAAAATACATCATTTAATTATTACAGAACTGAAAGAATACAATATTAAACTGTCAAACACCGCGCGGTCACCGGTGACCGCAACCTATTGTTCTATAATTGTGTCTATAATGACGGTACTCGACGAGTTAAATTGATCACTAAATAATAACACGGAATTATTTATAACTACAAGTTTATTTTTTATTATGTTAGTAAACTCTCTTTTGGCTTCTGTCCAAAATTGTTATACTATATTATAATATTTATAATTTATTGATGCACAAATGATCACTTTGAAATATGAATATGTTTTAATACGTGTGCATTTCTTGTACAGGTTTCATGCGTAAGAACGAGAGTGCTAAGGTGGAGCGGTGTCTCAGAGAGCTCGGCGTGCGCTTACATGTCGTCAACGCCGCTCATCAGGTATGTGAACACTATTTGGTTACAGTTAATACTAGACAGGCTGCCTTCCTAATATTGTCCCATTTGCAAGTTTGGTAGTTCAATGTTTTTTATTTTTAAACAATGTTTTCAAGACATATTGAAGTCAAAATGGCAAGTGAAAAATACATATTTGAAAGCAATGGGTATAAATATTAGATACCATCTATTTGACTGTAAAGAATGGTTAAAGATATTTTGCATAATATTTACTACAATTTTATGAATGCCGGATGTAATGTAGGTGCTCTGTCTGTTCTGTTGAACATTTCTAGTTGAATATAATCGTTGGTATGAGAGTAGAGTAGTGTATGTACTGAGTGCGGGTGTAGTTCCGACAGGGCAGCACGGTGGTGCGCGAGGCGGGCGGGCGCGCGCGCCACACGGGCCTGCGTGTATACTCGTTGGTATGAGAGTAGAGTAGTGTATGTACTGAGTGCGGGTGTAGTTCCGACAGGGCAGCACGGTGGTGCGCGAGGCGGGCGGGCGCGCGCGCCACACGGGCCTGCGTGTATACTCGTTGGTATGAGAGTAGAGTAGTGTATGTACTGAGTGCGGGTGTAGTTCCGACAGGGCAGCACGGTGGTGCGCGAGGCGGGCGGGCGCGCGCGCCACACGGGCCTGCGTGTATACTCGTTGGTATGAGAGTAGAGTAGTGTATGTACTGAGTGCGGGTGTAGTTCCGACAGGGCAGCACGGTGGTGCGCGAGGCGGGCGGGCGCGCGCGCCACACGGGCCTGCGTGTATACTCGTTGGTATGAGAGTAGAGTAGTGTATGTACTGAGTGCGGGTGTAGTTCCGACAGGGCAGCACGGTGGTGCGCGAGGCGGGCGGGCGCGCGCGCCACACGGGCCTGCGTGTATACTCGTTGGTATGAGAGTAGAGTAGTGTATGTACTGAGTGCGGGTGTAGTTCCGACAGGGCAGCACGGTGGTGCGCGAGGCGGGCGGGCGCGCGCGCCACACGGGCCTGCGTGTATACTCGTTGGTATGAGAGTAGAGTAGTGTATGTACTGAGTGCGGGTGTAGTTCCGACAGGGCAGCACGGTGGTGCGCGAGGCGGGCGGGCGCGCGCGCCACACGGGCCTGCGTGTATACTCGTTGGTATGAGAGTAGAGTAGTGTATGTACTGAGTGCGGGTGTAGTTCCGACAGGGCAGCACGGTGGTGCGCGAGGCGGGCGGGCGCGCGCGCCACACGGGCCTGCGTGTATACTCGTTGGTATGAGAGTAGAGTAGTGTATGTACTGAGTGCGGGTGTAGTTCCGACAGGGCAGCACGGTGGTGCGCGAGGCGGGCGGGCGCGCGCGCCACACGGGCCTGCGTGTATACTCGTTGGTATGAGAGTAGAGTAGTGTATGTACTGAGTGCGGGTGTAGTTCCGACAGGGCAGCACGGTGGTGCGCGAGGCGGGCGGGCGCGCGCGCCACACGGGCCTGCTGTGCCACACGGCGGCGCCGGAGGACAAACGGAAGATCATCGGGGACGTCTTCATACGCATCGCTGAGCAGGCCGTGCACGACCTCAACCTGCAGTATGTAGCCTTACACTACCTGCTTTGATATCCTTCTGCGAATCTGCATATTGACATATGATTGGGTATTTGCCAACTAGTCAATTTCAGTACTTTTTTCTGTGTGTCTGTCAAAAACCACACTTTTCTATGGATTTTGTACAAGATTGTGTATTTTTAACGCCAAACAGCATATTTATTTCTTAAAAAAAATGCTGGAAAAATACTAAAATTAAGTTAGTTTTAAAATCAATTTATGAAAGTATGATTACTTTGTGATATTTTATTGTACTGAAGTCGAAATAATTTATATTTGATTAAAGCAAGTACCCAATTTGCCTAAACAGTTGAACTCAATTTTAAGAGAATGATTTTTTTACTGTTTATGTAATTTTTCTATATCAAAAACAGACATACCGATAGCAAATGTTATCTGATTCTGTTTCCCTACTGCACTTGTTTAACTACATCACATAGGTATTATAATGTTCAAAATAAATGCTCATATCAATAAATTATTTAAATGTGTGTGGAAGTCTTCATAAATATAAGGATTTCAGTTCAAAATCTTACAAAGTTCTTTAAATCTTTGTATCTTCGCAGGGAAGACCAAGTACTGCTAGGCCAGGGTACACTACGGCCGGACCTGATAGAGTCTGCGTCCTCGCTGTGCTCGACCAACGCGGCCACCATCAAGACGCACCACAACGATACAGAGCTCGTGCGGGCGCTGCGTCAGAGGGGACGCGTTGTCGAACCACTGCGGGACTTCCATAAGGATGAGGTACATAATTACTGCCACCGATTGTAATATTGATGTGTAAAAGTGCTATTTTGCAGCCTATTCTCTAAAATAAATGTGTTTGGTAGTATAGCAACTAAGATGTTGATTAGAATATGCTTTAAATGTGTGTCAAATGTAGCCCAAATTAAATGGAAACATCTCATCATTGTCCCATTACATAGCTTGTTCTGGTGTTCTATTTGAAGCATATTCTTCATAAATTGGTTTGTGATACAGGTGCGTGCGCTAGGGCTGGAGCTGGGTCTGCCGAGTGCGCTGGTGGAGCGCCAGCCCTTCCCGGGCCCCGGCCTCGCCGTGCGCGTGCTCTGTCAGGACGAACCATACGCCGAGCGGGACTTCGCGGAGACACAGGTACTGCTGTTTAATATAATCCTCAAATTGTTGTGGAATGTGGGTGGTGGTAGATGATATTACTCCATGTTAAATACCTTGTATTTGTTGCTCATTCTTCATTGGGATTTACAGTTTGAAATAAGCAACAAGTTTTACTAAACAACTAAATAATATCGGTCTTGTTCTTGAGTTAAAAAATGTTTTTTTTTTTGTAATAATTAAATGAAATACTTTGATAAAAAAAGTAAAATAAAATGTAATTACAAATATTGTAATTGTCACAGGTGATAGTAAAAATAATGGTGGAGTACGCGTCGATGTGCGTGAAGTCGCACGCGCTACTGGGCCGCGTGGCCAACGCGAGTACTGCGGCGGAGCAGGCCGAGCTCAAGCGGATCTCCTCCAAGTCGCCCGTCGCCGCCACGCTGCTGCCTGTCAGATCGGTTGGAGTACAAGGTACTGTACTGACACTGACAACTCGAAATTTAAAACATTTTTCACTTATTGAGATCTCAATAAAACTGAGTAAACTTTTTTCAGGTGACGGCAGAACGTATAGTTACGCGGTAGCACTATCGACGGAGCGCTACCCGCCTGACTGGAAGGACATGCACTACCTCGCCAAACTCATACCTCGTGTATGCCATAATGTTAACAGGTCCGTGATTATTTTTAATTATACTTTCTACTACACTTTACAAAATTGTCGACTTTTACATGTGTATGTGTTTAAACTAAAAAGTAAAATTTTGATGTGCTTACTTTATTTCGTCTTTCATGAGCAACATTTCCGTTTGGGTTCTATAAAGCACTTGAGTATCATTGTATATTTTGTTTAATGGTTGAGTTTACCAAATACTTATTAAATTTCTCAGGGTTTGCTACGCTTTCGGAGGATTAATCAAGGAGCAAGTGACAGACATCACGCCCACCTTTCTCACACAACAAGTTATCTCAACCTTACGCCAGGCAGATGATCTTGCCACACAGGTAACGTCTGATATTATAACACTAATGTTGTTTTTCTTCGATATTAAGCTTGGAACCCTTTTCATGTTATAAACCAAATGTAGTGCTATTCTGGTCTTGTGATTAAAATTACATAAATTATTGCACGACAATATAAAAGAATTACGATTTTACTTATCGCTAGGGATAGTCAATTTTTTTCTAAGCAATATCTTATTGTGTATTCCCAATTGCTCAGGTGTTAGTATCAAGCGGGTATGCATCCCGTATAGCCCAGATGCCGGTGGTGATGATCCCGATCCACTTCGACCGCGACGCGGCCGTGCGCGCCGCCTCGTGCCAGCGCTCGCTCGTGCTGCGCCCCTTCATCACGTCCGACTTCATGACCGGCATCGCCGCGCTGCCAGGCTCCGATGCTATGCCGCAAGATGTAAGTATACTTCTGAACTACCTACTTCATGTTTAAAATAAATATATTGCTCACTCCCAGTAGACGTTCCAACGAAGAATGAAGTACGTTTGCGAAGCCACAACTTATCTATCATAAAAAATCTATATATAGAAATAATGGTGAATTTGAATGACTGTATTTATTTGTCGGCAGGTCGTAGACAGAATGCGCAAGGAGTTGCTGAGCGTGCCCGGCATTTCGCGCGTGCTATACGACTTAACCCCGAAGCCGCCCGCCACTACAGAATGGGAATGATCACCACGGCCCACACACTTTTATATATTTTTTTACTGAACGAACGCACCCACGGGCGGTGGCCGCGGCCTTATTGTTTTATTTGATGGAAGGCATCAGCAACATTGTGAAGGCAACTACGAACTCGACTATACACAAACACTATCGTTATTTAAATAAACTAAACGATTCTAGACTTGTACTATTTACTCAAGTGCCTATAATAATTAGTGTGATGTCGATCTCGTGAGTTGTCATTTCCCACACCTCCCGTTTTCATAGGGCCCTTTTCGCACATTCCGGCAGCAGGGACACGGCGGCATAATTTATAACTATGTACGTTAGCTGACTCAATCGTCAGTACAAACGTTCATTTGGCGCCGGATATCCGGCAACGGGAACGCGTGTGAATAGGCACTTTCCAATCTCTTCCTCATGAGATCGATCCTAACGCTTCAGTTGTTAGTTTTTAACCGTTTACTATCGAGAATATAAATGGCTCACGTTTTTATATTAAACTATTTTGGGTTGACCATAACGTTGATTTTATTTTGTTTATTAGTGTTTTAGCTATATCGAGTTTTAATTTATCATTTCTAAGTTTCAATGGTCGCGCCGCTGCCCGATATAAAGAAGTTTTTGTAAATACATTGGTGTCACATGTTATAATATTAGCTCCACTGATCAGTTTTGTAACATGTAGTAATTTATTGTCAAAGGCTGTGTAAAAATTTATAAAAAAGCCCAGAAATGTTCCGCGCGACAAGATAATTATAAATGGATCTTGTATGAAATCGAAGACACATTGTGTTTTATGGAATGGTTCAGTGTTATTGACTGGAAGTTTCATAATAAAAATTATATTATGCTTTATTTTCATATTGGATTTTATTTCAAAACCTTTATCACAATTTTACATAAATAAATATAGTTTACATTTAGCAAAGTCAGTCAAGTTTAAAACAATACAATAAAAAGTATTAGCTATCAGGCACTAACAAATTAATGTTCTTGCCTGATGTGACCTGCCCACCTATGAAGGTTTCCTCTTCACCTCTAATAGATAAGCCTTCAGCTAACTGAACATTCTTTTCTCTCATCATTGGAGCTTTCACCCAGCGGGAGCTGCGGCAGTTACTGCAAGAATGTTGAGGAATGAGTTCTAATGAAACAGTCCTATTGTTACAATCGGCACACTTAAAGAACCTCTTGAATGAATCCAACACTTTCAGGGGATGTCTTTCATCCTTACATATTTGTGCAGCTGAAAATGCAGTGTACTTGCATTTCACACATCTCACCGCTTTGCAAGCAAGCTTGAAAGTGTTCAACATCTTTTCTTCCATTTGTTCCTTTTTCTCTAGTTTACTGAAGTATTTTTCTTGTTCATCGTCTTCATGCTGCTGTATCAAATTTTGGTGAGCTGAGGTTGCTTCTAGAATTTTCTTGAACCTATCAGACATCACAGTTTTCATTTTCTTTGGCTGTGAATTTGTATCTTCATTGGATTTAGATTGTTGGCTATCATTCTCATCACTACTTGAACCATTTAACTTTTCTAAAGCTCTCTTCTTGCCAGCTTGTGTACCTTTGAGGTTGTTTGGGTCTGCTTTTGATAGACCACCATTCTGTTGGATCAACCTAAAAGCATTTGCCTTAGCTCTTTCTGCAGCCTTCTGTCCATAGCTCATGTTTAAATCTATAGTACCACTGCCTTTAAGACCAAATGTGCCACTGCTGCTTAGTTTAGGTGAACTTCCAACTCTTTCAGCTAATGATAAGTTCTGTGACTTGGTGCTACTCGGGCTAGAAGACAGTTTACTCAGTCTTTCATTGTCACTAGTTCGCTGAGTTGAGGGGCTGTGTAATATTGCATTGTTTTTCATGGAGCCAGCCCCAAGAGGTGCTTTATTCATCATAAGTTTATTACCCTCAGACTTGTGGTAGTCACTGAGTGACATTAATCTATTATTGTCTCTCTCTTTAACTTTCGATGAGTTACCACTTGGCAAAGCGCTGTATGCTTTTCCACCATAAATAACTGTGTTTTTACCCAAAACCTTGTTTTGTAAATTGACAAGCCCTTTTCCCATAGTGGAGGACTGAAGCTCCTGTCTTCTTGAATACTTCTGGTACTCCTGCTTGACATGATAAGTGCAGACATCACATTGGTTTATGTTGACAAAAGATGTACATGGTTCACCATTTTTCTTTCTACTTTTGCAAACTCCAAGATCTTTTGATTGTCCTAAGATCATGACACGGTCAGGATTTTCAACACTGAGACTAGCTTGTTCAGCACTATTTTGTGATCTATCTAAAACATTAGGGTTAAGAACAGCTACTACAGTACCCTCTGGCGTTTTCCACAAATCATTGTAAGCCTTCCGAAATAAGAACATTGAAACTGTCTTGAGATCATCTTTCAAGTCACTGAGAGTCCATATGAGGAATTGGTTACCCTTTTGTGACTTCTTTGCAGCACTCTTCTTTACAATAACACCCCCAATCACCCAGTCTTTAGACAAATCTTCATTTTCAACATGTCTTTTCACTCTTAGCATGTTTATGGCTTCTCTGCCTTGCATGCGGTCAAGGAGGGCAGTGCTTGATATCAATGGCTTAGTAATTCTAATTCCAAATACTGGATCAGTATAAATATCGGCATTTTCTTTGGGTTTCTTAATCTCGGGTGCACAAAATGTATTTTTACTCACTTGTTCAATAGGTTTCTTGGTTTTAAAAGTACTTTGAGCCACTTTAACATCCATATTAGTTTGTCGTAATCTAGTTTCAAAATCAAGTCTCTTATCTCTTTGTTCATCTTGCTGATGATCCAATATTTTCTTAACCTCAGATCCATAAGTACTGTACTTACGTTCAGTGTAATTTCTTTTTTCTTCATCATCTGATGAATCGGTATCACCATTATGAATAGCAGAGGTCTTTGCAGGTTTACTTTCTTCAGGTTTCTCTTCAACTTCTACATTACTTGTACTTGGTTTGAAAATATCAACTTCGCGTACAGAAACTTCCTTAGCATCATTATTATCAAATTCATTTAGGTCCGCACACAATAGTTCTTCAAGCTGCGCCAACTCATCGTTGTCACTCATTATTTTTGAGTAGTAAAATGGGTAAATTAATAATTCGATATAATAATAACTGATTAACTAGCAAAACTGGCGCGGAACTTTATTAACAGCACAGTTGGCGGGCGATCAGATTTGATATTGATATTGACAGCACAGAGCATGTAATTATAAGAGGCGGATCTTAGTACATTCAATTTTTTGAGAGTTCGTAACGGCGCTTAGCCAACCACACAATGCTACCAACATTAACAATGACAGTGACAACCATGACCTTGAAAAGAGTAACTGTCACGAATAAGGATGGGCAACGTATCGACATTCAGATTACATCGATATCGATGAAATATTAAGCATGCTTTTATATAGGATTCTTGCACAAAAGCATATATTTTGAAAATTAGGAAAAAAAAACACTATTTTTATATAATTTTACTTATTTAATTATTTACTTAATACATTCACCATATATTGCAGATTAGATACAGAAGTTATTTCTTACAATGCCACTTTTCTGACAATCGACCTTTACATTTAAATCATTTACGCTGAAATATTCAAACGCTGGCTGATCATGCATTGCTTGCATTGGTCTTTACGTTGAAAGGTATTTTTTAAGGGGGGGGAATCATTTAATGACTTCGGCCGCCTGGATGAGGTGGATCAGACTTTTACTGGCTAAAAACCACCCCGTTCCTAATCCTGTACTTCGAGCCGAAAATATCATGGTTGTTAAAGATACTGGATTCCATATATTAACAACAATCTGTGACCTCCTGTTTTTAGGACCCTTCCTACAAACATGGGGACCCTGAAACTATTAAAATCATTATCACTTTCTCAACGTTTTTCTGAATGTTGGTACACTGAATGTTACGAACTCCATACAAAATAATGTTTGTTCTAAGTTTCACAAGACTGATTGACAGTTGACACTTGACAGTGATTGTTTCGTTTTTAAAACGTCGCATTCTGTTAAACGTTCTGAAATACTTCAAAACTAGCGGCAATCGGTAACTCGGACACAGAATATAGTCACTTCACTTTTCACTTTTTGACAGGAACTGTCGTAATGTCAGTCAGGAGTGTAAATGTCATTTTGTGATTTCAATTTCAGGAATTTCTCTTGAGCCGTGCCGAAACTGCCGATTTTCTATTGCAATAATAGATTTTAACATATATCTTGTGTATTGAACTGTTTATTTTTATGTAAAGGATCAAACGTTGCAGCTTTTGTGTAGGATACAATGGCGGGTGAGTAATCTGTGTTATATCTGTTGTTGATTGTGAAGTTTTCCATTATACTTATTTATTTGTAATATCTAGACAATCAAGGTGCACCGGTAACCGGTAACCAAACGACTCTAAACAAGGAGGAGCCTAAAGAGGGTGTTGCGAGTGCAAACGAGCCTGGTACGCAATCTGAACCTGCGGAATCTCCTCAGACGGAGCAACCAGCGGAGGACTGTCAGGAGATCATAATAGTGAACGAGCAGACTACGGAACTAGACCTAAACCACGGGAGGATCGGGAAAATCGAGAACCTTGAGCGTTTAAAGAACTTAGAGAGGTGAGTCACCTTTTGTTTGCTAAGTGAAAGCTTGATGGTGTTATAATATACATGAGTCATTGATATCTTTTTCAAGTCGAACATACAAACTTAAGATATACTACTAAGTTTGCCAGCAGCTACATCCACATTCCCGTTGGATAATAAATAGCCTTTGTGACAATCCAGACCCTAATCTACCCCTTTTTCCAATTCCATTCCGATCCCTTCCACCATTTGATGTGAAGGAGTAACAAAGATTTTCACATTTATCATATTAATAATTAAGTAAAGAAATAAGTACAATCACAATTACTCCAGGCTCATGAACACAGGACATGACAAACCTACCTACAATAAAATAACAATTATTCAAAAAACAACTCTTGAATGATCTTACTGAACAGTCCATCCTCTACTGGCTTATTGGACGAGACTTTTAACCTTTAATACAGAGTCTTATCAGAGATGAATATCAAGTAGTGTACACTATTGTTCTTATAACAGTTGTTATCACTTGACATGCTGTTGAGTAATAGATTAGCTCTAGCTTATCTTTTTCTCAACTTGAAGCTGTATGAGTCTAACAAATTGTTTCTTTTGTATGTGGTTTGGTAACTGATAAACTCCCATAAATATAAGTTTCCACTTCTTTAAATTATAAATTTGAAATCTCTAAAAAAGATACATAATAACATAACATAACATCACAGCTTTATCCCCAAAGGACTACCCCTTCAGAGAGAGGCAGAGGTGCACAGTATTGCACTTAATGCCACTGTACAATGTAACACCCACTTTTCACTATTTATGTTATGAGTTCCATGTAATAGGGGTGAGCTTATTACCATATACCGGGCACATTTCCAGACTCCGTGCTACTACTGAGATTTTTAGAAAAAATCCAACAATACTTTGCCCTACCTGGGAATCGAACCCGAGACTCCTTACCCGGCAGTCACACTTGTAATTACTCGGCCTATGAGGCAGTCTCTAAAAGATCCAAGTGAATTTAGAAAATTTTTAGCCCATTGCTAACTATTGAAGTTTACATTCTCGATGTGTCAATTTAGTCTAATTTATAAGTTAGACAGTAAATATAATTATTTTAAATGTTCAATATCAATGAAGGTAAATGTTATGTATCTGATGTATTTTTAGTTAAAACAAAATTTTCCTATCATTATTGCGTCATCTATCATTTAAAATCACTTATCACTCTGTTCATTCTGCTTGTCAATCAACATGTGAAATCATCTTATTAGTATACCATATGCACTCCTATAATTTGCGTTCAGACAAAGGTCAGACTTTATATTTTTATTTAAACTGTCAAACACCAAGCGGTCACCGGTGACCGCAACCTATTGTTCTATAATTGTGTCTACAAAACCGGTACTCGACGAGTTAATTTTACGTATTTATAATTTTACTTATTAACATGTTTAACCGATTTCAAAACGAAAAAGGACGTTCTCACTTTGACATGTATGTTTGTGCTAGATGATCTCATGATTGGTTAAATCGATTTTGATGCGGGTTCCAAAAAAGTGTTTGTTACATTTAGAAGGTTTTAGTATATTAACCCGTATATCCCCACTCGCTCGCCACTAACTACATTATAGACCTTATTTCCAATGTTTAGAGACTACTTTTGTATGAACAAATTTAGGGGATGATTCTATCTTCAATTATAGAAACACAAAATATTGTTAAAATCACACAAATATTTTGGAAACCAGGTCCTTTTATACCAAGTTTATAAAAAAACTTTTATATGAAAAATCTATTGAATTAATAAAAAAGAAAGATATATAGTAAAAACCCTTGCCTACACTCCTGTAAATTGACTACAAGACTTGTGTGAATTATCACTTTGTTTCTTTTTCCATTTAGGCCTTGAGATTCATGTGTATCATTAAATATTTGTAAATATTATGTTCTCAACTAGTAAGTACATAAGTGCTAACTTAATTATAACATGTCTTATAATGGGTGGTCTTCTGTTGGTATGGTTTTAAACTTTTATCTATGACAATACAGGTGGGTTGTTAATTTATTCATTTGATTGCTTATCATCAAGGGATCTAATCCTTGTTTGGTAAATCCTCATTTCCCTAACCCTAAGTTTATTTAACTCGTCGAGTACCGGTTTTGTAGACACAATTATAGAACAATAGGTTGCGGTCAGGGTCACCGATGACCGCTTGGTGTTTGACAGTTTAAAAGACTTCATCAAAGTTTTTTATATAGTAGCATTATTTCAAATTGTAAGTGTACATTTATGTGGGTACCATGTTTGAAACAATCATTCATCGCTTTTTATTTTATTTCACGGCTTGAATCCCATAGTCCCTTTAACTTTGGCATATATCCAATAGGTAAAGGATCAGATAATGTATCAATAAGGCTGTATAAGAAATATATTTTTTAAAAGAGTAACTATGGACTTTCTTGCTCGTTCTTCTTCATTCGATCTACACTTTAGAACGAACACCTAGCTTCAATAACAGACTGACGGACGGACAACTCAATTTTTTACGTTTCGAAAGTGTATGATTAAGGATTTTGAAATAAATGCATTGACTTTGACAATGAATTCTGTTAAAAACATAAATCAATTCAAATGTTTTAGCTCAAGATCGGTTATTTATTTCAGCCGTAAATCTATCAATGGAATCTTTATAGATAGATTAAAATACAGCTCCAATTTTTCCACAACTACATACATACGTATAAAAAGCGCAACTCTCCACAATGTACGTCTATGCGATCAATATTGACATGTGACTGGCCAGTATAAATGAATGACATCACTCATACAGATCAATGGCGCTGGATAATCAATAGGAAGGTCGTTGTGCTGCCCCCACTTGACTGAAGTAATGTTCAATGAATTGTATCACCCATGGCGTTATCGCGACAATTACTGGTATATCTTTGTATCTAAGGCTGGTGTTATACTCATGTTTAAGAGTGTGGCTATGAAACAAGCGCGTACATAATATAGAATAGAATAACTTAATTATTATGTCTTCGGCTTACTCACGTAATTATTTGACGAGGAACTCGACTAGTTTCAAGCCATGCTAGAGGCTCATATTCATGTGCAGCATTTCGCGACCCGCGACGCGGCGTCTGTCGCGCTGCTACTCGCTAACATAATAATTAATTTAGTATTGCCCGAATACTGAAACGTTACTCGATTTTAAGTCGCGCTTAAGTATAGTTCTGTCACTGCAAATTTTTAGTAAAATGACAGAGATGGCACGATATTTAAGCACGACTTAAAATTGAGTAACGTTTCCGTATTCCGGCAGAAGTCTCACGAAAGTTATAATACAGATTTATAATAGAATAACCTTATTGTACACCAATTTGAGACAGTATATCCAGCTACAAAATCAAGAAAATAGGGTACAAGGGTGGCCTGATCGCTAAAAGCAATATCTACCAGGCAACCTTTGGGTGGATAGAACACTATAGTAAGATAAATGAGGTAGTTATAGCTTGATATACATGTACAGTACAATGAACTCATAAAGAAAAACCTATCTTTTTTGAAAACTGAAAATATTTTTTACAATACTAGATCGTTGTTACGTCTCATCACGCTTTTTGTTAACTGAAAGGATAGGCGAAATTGCACATATTAAATAAAAAATGTAAATGTAATGTTAATTGCAAATAATAAACTGAGATATACATATTATTAATGTTGATCCCAGTTTTTGTCAGTTATGTCTTGAAGTTGAATCACAACATCACATGTAGCAGAAATCCTAATTGGAGAGACATCATTGGGAGTCTAACCTGGCATCCCCTGCTCAGTATTACAACCAACTATGATAATTATAAATACTTCATTATTGTACAGTTATAGTTCACTTAATGGCCTCAATCTACACTATTACTGTGTTAATGGGAAAACCAATTTCATTATTTATAGTAAATTGCTTCACACAGCTCTTAGTCAATTGTAGAGTATTTTATTCTACTTGTAATCGCTAAGTAAAAGGTAGTACCTTTTTTAAACGCGCGACATTGCTTTGGGACTTTTTCTTGTATAGTGTGTTCGTTTACAAACGTATAATTTCGCATATAACAACATAAGACAGTTGGTATAGTTACTGCACATTGTAATTCAAATTGTAATAGGGTAGATGTCTAATTATTTTAATGTCCGTCTGGTAGATTATTTTAAATCATTAGACACTTATTTTCTATTTTCATACAGAAACGAATACTTTCGACGGTATGTTGATTTGAAATGTCGCGTGACGTCACTTCTATGTACATTTTATACGTAGAAATGACGTTTTAGCCCCCACTTTGATTCGTTTTGTCAAAAAAATGTCTAATATTTTTTCATTACCTAACTTACGGACTAATTAGATTTTTAATTTTCATACCCTGTCATCATCCCAATTATTGTTCCAGATTATACCTACGATGGAACCTGATCAAGAAGATCGAAGGTCTCAGTACACTGAGCACACTGGTCGAGCTGGAGCTCTACGACAATCAGATTGTGGTGATGGAAAACCTCGACGGACTCGTCAACTTAGAGTAAGTTCATGCACATCACTTTTGTTCTATTGGTCGCATAATACTACTTACTATACGTATTCGGAGCTTTCGAGTAAAGAGCTTACTACTTCTTACAACTCTGCAAACGGACTTATGTACTCCTCGGGTGTTGCGGGTGTCTCTGGACGTCAGTGATAGCTTACTGTCATTTACCTTCCATACATACATACATACATAACCTCACGCCTGTCTCCCATGAGGGTAGGCGGAGACTAAAACGCCAACAACTACGATTCTTGCTTACCTCTTTCGTTTTATCAATATTCATCATGTATGCTCGTCGGTTAAGGGTACCTACTTTTATTTTGCCCCTTCTTTGATATATAGCCAATCTGGTCTATAATATTTGTTTCGGGCGCCCTCTACCGACGGCACGTTTTATATCTGTATACTTCTTTCGTTTTCATTTGAAGCACAAAATAGAGCTAAATACATTTTTAACGCATGTTTTTTTATATTTTATTTTATATTTCCAGAATGCTAGACTTATCATTCAACAGAATTAAAGAGATCGACGGTCTAGAGAAGCTGCTTAACTTGAAGAAGTTATTCTTAAGCTCCAACAAGATCCATGAGATCAAGAATGTCAACCATTTGCCCAAATTGGAACTACTTGAGCTGGGTGACAATAGAATACGGGTGAGATTAGACTTAAAACTTGATTAACTAAACTAACCTTGGAATAACGGTCATACACTATCGTATGTGATACACTAGCTTTTACCCGCGGCTTCGCTCGCGTCACAAAAGGATAAAAAGTAGCCTATGTGACTATCCATCCCTTCAACTACCTTCAGTTAAAAATCACGTTAATTAGTACCTCCATTCTGCCGTTTAAGACAGGCAAACAAACAAATAGCTTTCCGCTCGCGAGGAATTCTGTTATATCGCGCTATTTAGATTTTTCCAATAAGTAGGTAATTCGTTGACTGGTTTTAAATGACATACAGCGCCATCTATACCAATATACACAGTGCCATCTATACCAATATTTTTGTTTTCCCTCGGAAATATCAATAATCCAGACTTCTAACTTTACGTCTGCAAAATTTCAAAGCAATCGGTTTAGTAGTTACGGCGTGAAAGCGGAGCAAACAAACAAACAAACTCGCTTTCCGATTTATAATATAAGTAAGGATTATTCTGTGTGATCAAGTATATATATATCGTGGCTATAGCAAAATGCAGAATAATAGAGCCTGTGATAGCCACGATACAGACTATGCCTACTGCGGTTTTCACAGCTCAAATTGTAAAATTGTAGTTGGTTTATGAATAAATTATTTCTTTATTTCTAATGTTTGGAAGCACCATAAATAATTATATGTTATGATACAAAAATAGTAAGTACTACAACACAGTGGCGACACTGCGAGGCTATAGCCAAAAAGAGTTTTTATTGATTTTTTTTGTAACTTTTTTTAATTGTATAATTAATCACCCAATGTAATCACAAATAACAATAATAAAAGGATTTTTTCATTTTCACTACCAAATTCCAGATTTGTGAGCAATAAACGTTATGTGTATTCACACATTGAAACCACGTACTGAAGTTTTTAAATACAAAGTTGTTTAATAAATAGATATTTTTACAGGAAATCAAAAACCTAGGAGGCTTGAAGACACTAAAACAGTTATACTTGGGCAAGAACAAAATATCGAAAATACAAAACCTGGAAGAATTATCAGAATTAGAAATCCTGGTACTACAGAGTAATCGTCTCGTTAAAATAGAGAATTTAGAAGAACTTACAAAACTAGAACAGTTGTACATATCTGAGAATGGAATCGCTGTTATTGAGAATTTGAATAACCAGGTGAAGTTACAGACTTTGGACCTGGCCGTCAATAGGATCACTGTCATCGAAAACGTTGGCCATATGCTGGACTTGGAAGAATTATGGGTGAGTAGAAAGTATACCACGGCCTCACAGAAAACCGACGTGAACCAACGCTTGCATTGTATGTTGTCGTGTGAATGAAGTTACCGGAGGCCCAATTACCCCAATTCCGCCAATCTCCCCAGTCCAAAAATCTTCAAATTCCTAATCCCCAAAAGGAAGCACGTAACACGCAACGCACCTGTAACGCCTGTGGTGTATCCGCTGTGTGTCTGGTGTTGTAGTGGTACCTATGTGTACCTATGTACCTCAGTACATAGTAGTACAGTGCAGTACCTATGTACCTCATGCTTTTAATGTGTTCTTCTCTATAATATTATCTGCTGTATGGTGTACATGAAATGATAAATATATTAAATCTTGTATTAATTTTCAGCTAAACGACAATCAAATCGCAGACTGGTCATCAGTGGATTACCTGAAACAGAATAAGAAGATGACAACGATATACTTGGAACGCAACCCTCTCGCCGCCGACCCGGCTTATAGAAGGAAACTAAAGCTAACCCTCCCGTCGCTGCAGCAGATCGACGCCACATTGTGTAGATAAGAATTTATGGTTCATTTGTTTATGTAGTTGTTCATGGTGGTGCTAACAGACTGAAATTATTATTTATTTCCTAAAATCACCAGAAAATTATAACATAATGTCGGAATTCTTATTTATTTTTAACTTGCTGACCCGGCAAACTTCGTATCCCGTCAAAACTTTTTCTCATCGTTTAAACTTTCCCTGGACGTCCACGAACATTTTAAGACCAAAATCAGCCAAATAGGTTCATCCGTTCTGAGGCCTTAGTACGAGTTTGTTTTACGTTTAAAGTAATCGAAACGAGACTGCCTTCGGAGCTCCGATTGGTTAGTTCATTGCAGCCGGCCTATCACAGCGCCGAACGCGTACTCGTTTCGATTACTATAAACGTAAATGAAACTCGTACTAAGGCCTCTGGAGTTTTAGCGAGACTAACGAACGGAAATTCATTTTTATTTACTATTATTGGTATTAAGAAAAATGACAAATTGTGGAATTAAATTTGAAATGCGGAATATTGATTGTCATAAAGAAGAATGATCTTTAGATTAACCGAAACACATTTTATAAAATATTTAGTGACGAGTCGATAAAAGCTAACCAAGTAAGTAAATTGCATTTAAGCCCACATAAAAAAGACATAAACTTTCTAGTTGTGTCATAAAATAAAACTAAATTCAAACAAGTTGTATCCATAAAAATACTTACATAAAATATAATTTGTAATAACTAATAATGAGGGTCTTTTTACACCACCTGTTAATTTTATTGTAGTAGTTTGTAGTTTAGTATTTAAGTACTAGTAGTTTAAAACATACTATAAAACATTTCATACCGATGACTGAAAATACAGATGATTAGCTACTTTAATAAATATAACATCAGGAGTACTTCAATGCGTAAATTACTACTAATTTGCCTATTTATACATCAGTAGGTAATAATAAAGATTGCCTCGTTGGTTGAGTGGTCGCAAGTGCGACTGCCGGGCAAGGGGTCTCGAGTTCGATTCCCGGGTAGGGCAAAGTATTACTGGTTTTTTTAAGTGTCAGTAGTAGCCCGGAGTCTGGAATTGTGCCCGGTATATGGCAATAAGCTCACCTTATATTACATGGGACTCATAACATAAATAGTGGGTGTTACATTGTACAGTAGCATAATGTACACTTCTGCTTACCCCTTGGGTCAAAAGGCGTGATGTTATGTTATTGTCAGCCAATTTCACAGTGTATGTGCAATAAAGTTTAAATAAATAAAAACAATGTATTATATCGTTTAGTACTGGATCAGACCAGGAAGCAACTTTGTATTTGCGTCTTGGTTCAGACAGATAGGACATTTTTCTTATAATTAAAATAAAATTATTGTCCTATCAACTACAATAAAATTCTTCGAATCTGATTAACTATTTCAACTTATAATTTAAACTCTTTAGATAATAACAAAAATATACATATATTTGTATGTCTTAGTAACTAATTTATATTGTTATTAAAATAAAAGAAATATGTATGTGAGGTGTTCGACCATTTCGGCGGTTTAGTGTGACGAATGCGCACAAATACGTGGATTTGACACCCAAATTGGGCAACTTATTGAGATTTTCTCCTACGAAATTGTCAAGGAGTTCTATTAAGTAGCCGTTGTATGGTTATACGTTACCCCTATGACAGGGGCCTCCTAACATAAGTGGTGAAAGTGGATGTTGTATTAAATGTTGTTAGGTGTTAAAATGAAAAATAAATGTAAGTGCCTCCTTCAAAATTGTCCAAAAATTGTTAGAAAAATGTAGATCGTTATCTTCGATATCATTATAAAACTTCCTTAATTAGTGAATTAAAATAAGAAAATTAGTAACAGTGCGTGCAAAGGAACGGCTGAAACTATGAGAATGACAAACAAAATTAGATTTGATGAAAAAATGGTGTGATGTCTAAAGAGTGTCGATAAAAAGACAACATAACATTTTCATTTCTCAGACAAAATATTAGATTATTGTTTTAAAAAAACAGATTCCTAAGTAGAAGGATACAAAAAATACATGATCATGCATTTTGTGTTATTGTGTGTTATCTTATACTATTATGTAAAGCTGAAAGGCTTGTTTGTTTGAAAGCGCTAAACTCAGAAACTACTGGTCAGATTTGAATTATTTTCGTGTTGGATAGTCGATTTATCTAAGAATGCTATAAGCTATAAAACATCACGCTACGATAAATAGGAACTGAGCAGAACGCGTGAACCCGCGCGAAAGTAGCTAGTTTGCTATAAAATGCAATTCAAAGTAGTAAATATTTTTGTATAAGTCACAAATCATTGCTTTGATGACGAGTAGTCACAAGCGTAGCTCAGTCAGATCTATATGTTTAGTTTCCTAGACGAACACTGTTACTTGGGTAGTACAGGTTCATTCCTGTGGAACTTATAAACAAAACAATTGATTGAACAGTGATTCAATGAAACTTACTTCATAAAGTACTGAGAAAACAAATATGTATTTTTATTCTCATATCTATACAGATAAATAGAATTAGATTGTCTGTTTACTATATTAATATAACCGCTTTTTACTACATGCTTATGAATATATGTACATACGATACACATACCAAAATAACATATTTTACAATTTTTGTCTGTCTGTCTGTCTGTTTGTACTGGCTAATCTCTGGAATGGCAGAACTGATTTTGACAGGAATTTTATTGGCAGGTAGCTGATGTACTAAGGAGTAATATGGTATTTTTATTTTGGAAAATTGATACAAAAAAAAAGTTGCCCTAAAATTACTTATTCTACGCCGCGGGCAACAGCTAGTCTATAACATGTACTACCTACTAATAATAAAAAGCATTTATATCAAAATGTACCAATAAACATGGATTTGAAAATATATAGATTTTGTACGGAATGTAGTGTGTGTTAGTAGTTGTGGTAAATATAATTTATTATTTATATGTATTTTATATCGTAACCGACTTTGATGTGGTTTTATAACATAAACAATAAATATTTTTGCCGAAACAAGTTACTGAGTAAAGTACAAGATATAAGTTAGTTTTGTGTATAATAATGATTAATATAATAATTTAACTGATTATGAGCCCCGTTGTTGCTCGAGACTAGTCGAGTATTCTCGAATACTTGTTACTTACATGAGAAATATATAAAAATATGTGTATTTAAAGAAGATATTGTATGAAATAGTTGTAAAACCACATCATATGTACTGATGCTATCTCTTCTCCTAACGAGTTCCTTCGATCATCTATATAAATTAGTTTGTATTATTATTTGTTAATTTATCTCGACACATATATTGTACTATCGTAGCTTAATGTAAATGTTTACAATAAATGTGTTAAAATCGTTGTAGTATATTTTATTTATATTGATTTATTTATTTACTTTTCTAAATACCCTTTCATTTTCAGTCCAATGGTAAAATAATATTGTCATCTCATCTCATCTTAGTCTTAGCTATGTTAATGTATGAACAATGATAGCAGGTAACATTTGTTTGTAACATTTCTTAGCTTAACGCACGAATACTGGAAGGCTATTATAAGGTGTACTTACAACAAGATCGTTTTGGAGACTCGTTTGCCAAAGAAGTGAAAATAAAGGTGTACTTAAGAAGGTGTACTGAAGGTCTAATATCGTGCCATCTCTGTCATTTTACAAAGAATTTGTAGTGACTGAACTATACTTAGGGCCAATTTTTCAATTGGGTAGTTTCCTTGGTAAAAATAAATTATTTTGATTTTTCAGTCAAATTAAAAATTGAAAAATAGTTACAATTTCATTGATTGATTTGCCGATATACTTAATTTTCCATTTGTACTAGCATTTTTTTTAGATATAGGTAAGTGTGCTATTTGACGCGAAAATATGATGACGTCATAAGCTGGTATTTCGTACGAAATTCATAGAACAGTATCGTTTTTGACGTTTCGATAAAAGTATTGAATTTGACTAGTTGTCAACTACCATATCATCACTTAATTTTTAACTGTAGGTTTACATTGACTTTTGATAATTTGTAGTACGAAAGAATTATCAAATACTCAAAGTTATTCCTCAGTTAAAATTTATCTGGCGTTGGATAATTCAGCACTTAAACGCGACTTAAAGTACGGTAGTGGACAGGTAGTCAAATTCAATACTTTTATTGAAATGTCCAAAACGATACTTTTCTATGAATTTTGTATTGGATCGCAACTTATGAGGCCATCATATTTCTGCGTCAAACAGCATACTTATTACCTTATAATTAACGACATTAAATCCAAAAGTCGGTAAATTGTCAAATCAATGGATGAGAGTATGATTATTTTTTAATTATTTATTGCATTGAAAAGTCAAAACAATATATTTTAAACCTAGAAAACTAGCCAATTGAATAGCCTTCAGTGTTCGGTCGTAAGTTTTGTAATATATCTAATATAAATTAGGTTAATTGGAACAAGTAATAAATTATAAGTAAACTTTAATTAGTATTTATATAGTAAATCGTATTTTTAAAGCTAGATATTTCTTTAACTATTGGTGGGTTCAGTAGCCAAGCTACCGATCTATGGTTACCGTCCCTGTATTGTATCAATCTTTAATTTCTTACCCAACTACTTGGCTGACTGAAAAAAATAGAAAAATATCTGTACTCTGACTGTACGCTGACTGAGAAAAATATCACTTGAGTACAACGTAGGTTTGCAATCGTATGTTTCTAAAAACCGCTAAAGACTTATGTTTTTCGAAGGGACCTGGGTGTCTTACAGGCCTGAGTGAAAAGGTTGCTTTATGGCAGGCGCGCTTCATTGTAGACCGCATTATCGCCAATCACTAGGCCAGTTTGAGGTGATGAAAAAAGCAGTTTAATTGACTGTGGTGCACCATATTGTGGGTTCAAGTCCCGCATGAAATAATAACGGTTATTTCAATATCTGCGGATACGGTATACAGTGCTATGAGCCAAATGCCTTTTAGCGTTTGTCTACAAATATAGTAGAAAACTAAATTATATGATGTCAGCTCCAGTGTGATTTATTTGCAATGAGATGGATAGATGTGTATCGTGAATGTCTAAGATTTTGTGAGAAGATGGATGATACGTATCTAATTATTATGTTCAATGTTTGTTTCAAGTTACAATTACTATGATTACCAATTTTGTTATTCAATTGTATAGTTTTTTGTTAATTTTATTTCTGAATTGTATTAATTTTTATTTCTTATATTTAATTAAGTACCTAATTGGTTTGTTTTTAAGTACCGAAATACTAGTATTTATATAAGATTAATGGCGTAAGTTGCACGTACATTTTTGACACTTACCAGGGTCATGTTATCATGTTCATACTTTGAGTTTTCTCTTCTCTTGGTAGATAAGGGCTAAAGTGGCTTTTGGGTAGAAGCCCAGATGAGGTTATTACTTTTATTTATTTATTTTCGAAATAGTACTGTAGATATATAATTTCCAGGCAGTCGCGGACTCTCCCAGCTCTCAGTGTCCGCACTCTCCAGCTCCATGTCGCAAGGACCACACTCGCCCGGCGCTACGTAACCCCATACTCTCTAAGGTCAACTTTAAAACGTAAACAATAGAGTTTATTTTTATTGTAATTGTAATTAATAAATGAAGGTTCTATAAAATTCTGCTTTTTCTTTTGTAGAACGATTAGGGTGCAACATTATCATTTTGAGGTTGAATATTCAATAAGGTATCTTCCATGGAGTCATAGTTCCCGCGCTAAGATAAACCAAACGAAGGCAAGCGCACTGCCTACCTTATTTCCAAAAAAAATCATCTTCTTTAACCCATATTTACTTGGGTTTGATTTATCGTATATTAAACATTTCTAATTTATTAGTAAGTAGCGAAACAGTACAGTTTTTTTACTTTAGTAGATACATATGTACTTGCATGTATAAAACAAACAAGAATAGTATACAATTAAATAAACCTCTCAGATACCCATTTCAAACAACATGTTCTCTTATCATAATTCATATACATATTGTTTAGTCACTTTTATCATCCTCCCCAGTTATAACATAACCTAAAACGCATCACCTTTCATTTTCATCTCAACGGTAAGAACAAAGTTTTATACTTTCCCTATTTTATAAGATAAACGTTCCTTGACCTTGTGGACGACTAGACCAGTCCACTGTCCCGCCGGCCGGCGAGCAAACCGGCTAGTAGACTTGCTACATTAACATAAACAACTTTATAGTTCAACACAATCTACTAAACACATTCCGATTGCCACCCGACCGAGAACGACGCATCATGAAATCGTTCATACAATACTCTCCAGAGTCAGATTTTCCTATCGAAAATCTACCCTATGGCGTCTTCACATCTCCTAATAATGTAAGTACAATATTCTAATAATAATATTAGGAAAATTGTGTATTCGATATTAGTTTTTATTGTCATGTAATAAGAGTCATGCGATAGCCACTGACCGTACTCAATGTCTTCTTTTTGACATTGCATATTGCTATAATACTGCTAAATTAAAAAGTCCATCAAACCAATTATTAATTTGCTAAATTGGAGTGCCATTTTATTTAGCCAGGTTATGTATTAGTTCCAGAGTTAAGTTGTTTTTTTATGTTTTTTGTTTGTTTGTAGATCGAGAAACACATTGGCGTGGCGATCGGAGAATTGATTCTTGATCTGAATGTGATTTCCCATCTATTTGATGGACCTCTGTTGAAATCTAAACAGAATGTTTTTAAGGTAAAGTACTCACTAATAATTATTTTATAAGACGTAAGATTAACCTGAGTAACTTCTCATTTTCTCAAGTTGCGGCTTGTTGTTGCAATACCGACCTTTTTAACCGACTTCCCAAAAAGGAGGAGGTTATCAATTCGTCTGTATGTTTTTTCTCAATTCAAAAATTCAAAATACCTCAGTAGTTGACCTTAATTCCTTAATCATAAAATAAAACTATTAATATTTTAAAGAACAATAGGTTGCGGTCACCGGTGACCGCTCGGTGTTTGACAGTTTAATAAGTATTTATTAACATTCAAAACACATAAAGTTCTATACATAGTCCAGCTTGTAATTGTAAATAGTCGATAACACGTCATTTGTTTACTGATAAACAATATTTAACTCGTCGAGTACCGGTTTTGTAGACACAATTATAGAACAATAGCTTGCGGTCACCGGTGACCGCAACCTATTGTTCTATAATTGTGTCTGTATTGACGGTACTCGACGAGTTAATACATAAGTACCAACTGCTATGTATGACAAGTACCTATCTACATTTAATCAGAGCTTAATCAAGTGGATATCATTTGCATGAAGTGGTAAACATGTTTATAAGCTCCAGTGTACTTACAGACCTGTCTATCTATATCATTTAGTTAGTTAGGTACCTTCTTACTGGTTTCGTTATTTATTCGTATATTTTAAAATGTACTCCCTAATCCCGAATCTTCAATAATCCTCAAATTCCTAATCCCCAAAAAATCGGTAACGCACTTGTAACAATGGGCACACTGGTGTCAATGGGCGACGCTGATTGCTTACCATCAGGTTATACGTCTGCTCGTTTACCGGCTTATCCCATAAAAAAGATAGATAAATATCTGTATAATCTTCGTTAGTCAAATAGGTAAATATGGAGTTCTTCTCGATATAAACACTCGTATGTACAGTAACTGTTTAACAAAGTAGGTACCTTGACTAGTTTCAAGCCGCGCTTTGGTCTCACGATTGGCTGTGTGATGATCGTCGCGCGTTTATAGCGCAATGTTGCTTGTACGTAGCTATGTACCTATAAGCCCGTTGCGGCTTGAAATTAGTTGAGTTAGTGTCAAAGTGAACCGTGAAATAAAAAATGTTAAACTTATAACGAAAAGATATCAGAGGCCTTAGTACGAATTAGCTTTACGTTATAAGTAATCGAAACGAGACTGCCTTCAGCTCTCCGATTGGTTAGTTCATTGGAGCCGGCCAATCAGAGCGCTGAACACGTACTCGTTTCGAAAACTTTAAACTTGTACTAAGGCCTCTGAAAATTTTGCAAAGCAATAGACCTAGAAACACCGTGTCTTCTTTCAGAAGTAGGGAAGTAAGATACAGACAGACACACCTCCATTTCTGATTAGTTTACAACAAACACTTCCGTGTGTTTGTGAATACGTAATTAACTTGGACCTACTAACGTCGTCAATATATTTACGATTGAAATAGAATTCCAGTTTTATACAAACTGGTTCGTTATTACGCCATGTTGTGCAAGTTATTATGTACTGAATAATATAAAAAATACTGGTACTTACAGACTAATGAAACACAACGGAAAATGTGAAATTTAACTTATCTTTGGAAATACGTGAATTTCCGAAGTAATATTGCTTCACTCTACATCATCCTCTTGCAGAATTAACCAATTTATTATGATCCATTCAGTTATTTGATAAAGATATATCGGCGCAACAACAATAAATTAGTCAATAACAATAATTAATAACTAAGTTTAATAATTTGATTACGTCAAAACTAGTTTATAAATCAAGAATTTATTATTGTTTGATTTTGTAGTGTAAAAATCTTGTGATTAAAATAAAATTAGTACTACCTACAATTAAATAATGTGCACATGCTCGCTACACTATAAATACGGTCGCACAGAGCGCGCTTAGTCAGTCTTGCTCGAGCTGTCGAACTGTACAGATCTACTTAAAATAAGTTGTTACGCTGTCAGTTTAATAAACGAAGCATTTAGTAAACTTGTGGTGTTTTACTTTGAAAACTGAAGATGAGTGATCACCATGAACACAGTGTTAGTGACGTCAGCAATGCTGACGTCACACTTTTTAAAAACAGAACGGGCACCGATCCTCCGTCAGATATAATCCATATTTTATTAAGCTAATAGGGTAGTTTCCTAAATTTTATTTTAATATCCGTCTGGTACATTAATTTAATTTAGACTCGTATTTTTTCTTTTTTCATAAAATTTAATACTTTCGACGATATTATTAATTTGAAATATCGTGTGACATCACAGCGTGTCACATTTTGTAGCACGTTATGACGTAGCGACCTCCCATTCCTAAACTTGGCGCCATTTTATCTAAATATTGCAACTTAATATGAGAAAATAGAAAAATACGTGTCTAATATTTTTTCATTATCTAACTGACGGTCTAATTAGATTTTTAATTTTGATACCCTGGAAACTACCCAATTATAATTCAATTGTGCATAATTCCCTAGGTAAGTTAAGTCTACAATTATAAAATTAATATTGTTTTCATAAACATTTTTAAAAGATTTAGTGATATCGTCATTTTTCGATACAGACTTGAAATGCCCACCTATATGCTGAATGTCTGTATTGTAATATTATTTACTGTTTTGTTCTTGCCTCATATGGCGTATGATTAAATACTTATGTTTGTATGTTTTTAATTGCAGGAGGAGAAACTCAATGCCTTCATGGCCCTCACGCGGCCACACTGGCAGGAAGCGAGGGCCACCATACAGAAACTGCTGGATGCTTCAAACCCTACACTACAGAACGACAGTGATCTAAGACAAAGGTACCTTGCGGATATTAACCCTTTGAGTACCATCATTAGTGCAGTTTTAAATACCTCTATAGTATGTCAAATTCGAACAGTACCCCTATTGAAGGAACCATAGGATGTCGTGAGCTCCACCAAGACACCTATATAAAATGTAGGTAACGTGGCTTCGGCATAAGGCTGGAGGTGGAACAGGTGTTTAGACAGAAAGAACCTGTCACTCCTTGGGCAGACTTTGGAGAGTAATTTTCCATCACCAGAAAAAGGCTAAGGCCTAGGCATTAGTCATAACAATTGTTTCTTATGGTACCTATGTTATTGAATTTCTGCAGAGCGTTCGTGAAACAGAGCGATGCACAAATGCACGTTCCCGCTGAGATCGGAGACTACACCGACTTCTACTCCTCGCTGCATCACGCCACCAACGTCGGCATCATGTTCCGAGGGAAGGACAACGCGCTGTTCCCTAATTGGTAACGATTCTTTGTCTATATGTAGAATAGCTTCTGCCAGCGTCTTTAGCATACATCTGAACCTTTATCAGGATTCACACTATCTGTTGGTAAAAACTATTCGGTTTTTGAGCTTCGTGTTCCTGGAAATATATAGACGGGACTACTTTTTGTTATAAAATACCATCTTAAAGTTTCGAACCACAGAGGGGTTCTTCCTCATGAGCTTGCGCGGTCGCGGCGATGCCGCACAGCCTACTGAATAACCCGCGATTTTTAGTTAATTTAGAATGTCTCACGATAGTTATTATAAAATAAATTGAGCTATTTACTTATAAAGTCTTTAAGGTTTTCTTCGCCAAAGCTGATTGTAATTATTTTTTCTAGGAAGCAGCTTCCAGTCGGTTACCACGGCCGCAGCAGTTCTATCGTCATTTCTGGAACTCCCATCGCGAGACCATACGGACAAACTTTACCCGTTGAAGGTATTTCGGATTCCCCATCATCATATTAGTCACGAAATGCCCACTGCTGAACTTAGGCCTTCTCTAATAAGCGGATTTATCATCAGCCTACATGTGGTCACTGCTGACCAAAGGGCTCTTCTCACACGGAGAAGGTTTTGAGCATTAATCACCATGCTTGCTCAATGCGGGTTGCGATTTCAAACTTATAATTAGAAAACATAATCCCAGATGCCTCACGATATTTTCCTTCACCGTTGGTCAGTGGTGTCTAAATAATCATACAAACTACATATTATATAACTCGTACTTCGTTTTGGTAGGTTTCAAACCCGTACCCTTGTACATGAGAAGAAGCGGATCAAGATTTTAAAATTAGCTTTGACTATATATTCGCAGTAACGAAAGTATTCCCTCTTTAAATCAGGCGCCGACCCTCACTTCGGTCCCTCTCGTCTGATGGACTTCGAGTTAGAGATGGCCGCCTTCGTCGGCGGACCTCCCACCGCACTCGGACAGAGGGTCACTGCCAAGGAGGCCGAGGATCGCATCTTTGGACTTGTACTTATGAATGATTGGAGTGGTAAGTACTGCAAAATATAATCATTTCATAGTTCTTTTTTGCAGCATATCTTTGAGCCTTAGCCTTTAGCCTTCAATTGACGGCATTTATAAAGTAACTAGCTTTTGCCCGCGGCTTCGCTCGCGTCACAAAAGGATAAAAAGTAGCCTATGTGACATATACCAATATACTTTTGTTTTCCTTTGGGAATATCAATTTTTACGGGATAATAAGTACTTTTTCCGGACTTTTAACTTTACGTCTGCAAAATTTCAAAGCAATCGGTTTTGAAGTTACGGCGTGAAAGCGGAGCAAACAAACAAACTCACTTTCCCATTTATAATAGTAAAGTATAATACAAATAACTACATACTTATCATGAAGCATACCAAGTTATTGCGCACGCTGCTCATGAATACGAGCCCTGCAGCTGTAGCCAAATACCATTTAGCGCTTGTCTACATGTAGAATAGAAAACCAAATTATATGGAATTGACGTAAATTTTGACACTTGTCAATGTCATCCCAATACATTTAGTTTTCTACTCTCTCTGTGTATGATGCCTGAATATGACGCATGAAAGTAGTAGAGCTTTTCTCGAACACTTTACTAGAGTAGGTAAGCCCTAATTTAAATTAATCAATCAGTATTTTATTTTCTCGGCTGCCTCGTTGGCCTATTGGTCGCAAGTGCGACTGCCGAGCAAGGGGTCTCGGGTTCGATTCCCGGGTCGGGCAAAATATTTTTAAAAACCTCGGTAGTAGCACGGAGTCCGGAAATGTATATGGCAATAGGCTCACCCCCTATTACATGGGACTCATAACATAAACAGTGAAAAATGGGCGTTACATAATACAGTGGCATTAAGTGCCGTAATGTGCACCTCTGCCTACCCCTTCGGGGATAAAAGGCTTGATGTTATGTAATATATGTATTTTTTTTTACAAAATTAACTTAAACTAACAATTTATCCCTTTTAGCTCGTGACATTCAGAAATGGGAATACATTCCCCTGGGTCCCTTCACGGCTAAGAACCTGGGCACCACCATATCGCCATGGATCGTCACCATCGAAGCTCTGCGGCCCTACGTAGTGGACAACTTCCCTCAGGACCCAACACCCTTCGCGTACTTACGTCATGATGATAAATTTAACTTCGATATCAAGTTGGAGGTCGATTTGAAGCGTGAGTTACTTAGATTGTATGAGAATTATCACCATTATGTGATAATCCACTACTGGAGTATGTGCCTCCACTACACAAGAAGGGTTTGCCATAATCCCCACACTTGGCAAGTGGGTTAGAGATCACAGTTGAATAATTCTTTTATAAACTACGTTTAAAAAACCGACTTAAACCCCCTCTTTTTTGAAGACGGTTATTAAGTACAGAAACTACTTAACATAAAAATTAAATCACCTGTATCAACAAGACTTACAAAACGTAACAATCATTCGATTTTAAACCTTATTCCAACAGCGGAGAACTACCCAGCAGCCACAACCATCTGCCGGTCGAACTATCGGTTCCTGTATTGGACGGTGAAACAACAACTGGCGCAACAGACCGTCACTGGGTGCAACCTGAGGCCTGGAGACTTGCTGGGCTCCGGAACTATTAGTGGAGAGGTCAGATTATGTTGGTTTTTCTAAACTGGCTATAAGCGCATAGAGCGATCAACGAGCAGAGGGATCACCTGATGTTGAGCAATATGCGTCGCCTATGGAGGCCCACAACATCAGAGGCGTGTGCTGCTGATATTTTAGGGATTGGGGATCAGGATTAGATCTTCACTTTAAAAAAAAAACCTTACACTACGATTATTTCCTGTGTCGTGGGTGCGTTTAAAAACATACAAGTTCACACACACATGACACCCAGACCCGAAACAACAATTTGTGGATCACACAAAGTGTTGTTCCGTGCGGGAATCGAACCCGCGACACGTTGCACGGCAGCCAAATTGCCCAGCCACCGCACCAACAGTGTAGTCATTGACTTCCGGTACCGTCACTCACGCGGTGAAAGACAAAGTGTTGTTCTCACGCCGGTTTTCTGCGAGGCCTTTAGTATTCCTTTGATTGTGAATAAACATAACATACATAATTAAGCAATGTTAACAATCACGTGTCTCACAAACAGTTACATTTATCATTTGTTTATTCTCATTACCCCCTCTTTCTGCATAATGAGTGAGGTTACCGGAGGCCCAATTACCTTCCCCTTCCCCAATCTCCCCAATCCCTGAATCCCCAACGATCCTCAAACTCCTAATCCCCAAAAATCCGGTGACGCACTTGTAACGCCTCTGGTGTTCCAGGTGTCCATGGGCGACGCCAATTGCTTACCATCAGGTGATCCGTCTGCTAGTTTACCGGCTTATGCCATAAAAAAAAATAATAATAATTTACTAATAAGTATCGCTTTTCAAATAAGCTTCTAGCTTCACTAGCAGACATACTGAGGAAAAATTGGGATGATGACAGGGTATGAACATTAAAAATCTAATTAGTCCGAAAGTTAGGTAATAAAAAATATTAGACACGTATATTTTTTTGTCGTATAATAAAACGATACTTAGATAAAACGAATCAAAGTTTATGAGTGGGTGCACAAACGTCATTTCTACGTATAAAATGTACATAGAAGTGACGTCACGCGACATTTCAAATCAATATATCGTCAAAAGTATTCGTTTCTGTAAGAAAATAAAAAATACGTGTCTAATGATTTAAAATAATCTACCAGACGAACATTAAAATAAAAATTAGGCATCTACCCTATACAATGTTGACGTTACAAAAGTGCCAATATAAGGATTCATTGAAATAAATAGGTACTTGACGTTGCCTTTTCTACCCCTCAGGCATCAGACTCCTTCGGTAGCATGTTAGAACTATCCTGGAAAGGTACAAAGCCACTGCGACTTCTGTCAGGCGAAGAAAGGAAGTTCATCCAAGATGGAGACACCGTCATACTTCGAGGATACTGCGTCAATGAAAATGGAGCCAGAATCGGCTTCGGAAAATGCGAGGGAAAACTCCTTCCTGCCATACCTTTTGATGATTGATTGTCAACCTTATGAACACTGATTTGTATAACATGTTTTGGATATATTAAATGTTTTACATTTATGGTTTATTTTTCTTTGTTAATTTTCCTTTGACCAAAACTGAGTTAGGTGTGTCATAATGCGAATTTTTCTCAAACTATATATACTAGTCAATTTTAGGTTCATGATAGTAACCAATTTAAATTACAAGAAATGTTGAATTTCATTGAAATATTAACGTCAATTTGAGTAGAAGATCCGTTTTTTAAAGAAGGCACACAAGCTCATTATAACTTATTTATTACTTGTCATGGTATGTACCTAAAGGTACAAGTCATGTGGTAGCATTTTTAAATTAATAGCGACAAAATTGTGAACGGAAGTTAGTCTCAAGCTTAATTAAGCCTTTAACTGCCGACAAAAACGGCTAAAGGCTAATCCTCCGCCAGCGTCGGTCATCATTGTCCGACACGGCATCAAATGTGTCATCAAACATCGAGCCATATAATGAAAAATCTGTGATTCTAAATATCATATTACCAGGCTTGCAAGGACCTACATACAGGTTTATGAAAATTAAATAATGTCTAAATTCTACTAATTTGGATAAACCATCCATCCACCCCTCCGTCCATGCACGTGCATGCACTGAACGCATCGAAATGTCAATCTGCTAAAATATTGTTACTGACATTTCTCAGATAGCGCAAAATCGAATAATCCTAAATTTTGTCAAAAACCAAAATAAAAACATAACAAGTGTGTTTACTTTCATGTTTTTTTATTTTGAGATTGAGAGATGGAGAGACTGAATTTCCTATATTATAACTTGAGTCTTATGAGAATCAAAGGATAAACTAGACTAAACTTTCTTTATTTCTCATTTTTATCATTTATTGTATGTTCCTTTAGGTACCTAAATTTTATAAAATACTGTGCTGGCAAAATTTCAACAACAATTTTGTAAAATTTAAATTAGAAAATAATTTAATAATTATAATTTAGGTATAAAGTTCCTTAATTTTTTATATTACCTAACTATTTGTTTGGTAACTTTTTTTTTGTTTAAATATATATTTCATCAATTATTGTCTATTACATTCTAATTTATTATGGATTTATTTTTTATCTACACCAGGTAAGAATATTTTTCTCAAACCGTATTGAGGGTAGGTAGACAAATAATTTCAAGTTCTTTGTTTCCATACCTACCTTATCTTATTTCCTCTAATTATATTTGATACTCTTTTGGACAATTTCTAAGAAGGTTATTAAATTATAGTCTTGAGTTATGGAAGAACCAGAAGATATATCAAACATGGATGCGGAACCATTTAATATGGAGGCTTGTCGAATTTGTTTGGCAACCGATGTGAGGATGTACAGCCTCAGTGATCCATACTTGGCAAGGTGCATAAAAGAAATAGGATTAAACGATGTAAGTCCATTGGTCATTTCCATAAATATTTAACATTAAAAAAATACCCACTAGATAAAAACAAAAGAAAATTTGAACAACAATTTACACTCCTCCTTGTTTCAACGAAAATTCATTAATATTTTGTAAATTAATTCCCCTTTCTTTGCAGGAATCACCGCAATGGTTGCCAAAATTCATCTGCTATGAATGTCGACCGACTTTGATAAAATGCAATAAACTCATTGAGAATAGCAAAGTGGTTCAAGATATCCTAAGTGGATTACACAGCAACTCTCAAGTGGTATGTTTTTTTTTATGGCATAAGCCGGTAAACGAGCAGACGGATCACCTGATGGTAAGCAATCGGCGTCGCCAATGGACACCTGGAACACCAGAGGCGTTACAAGTGCGTTACCGGCTTTTTGGGGATTAGGAGTTTGAGGATCGTTGGGATTCAGGGATTGGGGAGATTGGGGAATGGGAAGGTAATTGGGCCTCCGGTAACCTCACTCACACGACGAAACACAACGCAAGCGTTACTTCGCGTCGGTTTTCTGTGAGGCCGTGGTATCACTCCGGTCGAGCCGGCGGCCCATTCGTGCCGAAACCGAAACATGGCTCCTACACTTTTATGTTTAAACTATGCATGATTATTTAAACTATTACTACAAAGTTTATTTATTTAAATCGACACATCCTAACAAATTACACCCAATGCGATAATGTTGTCACTTAATATAAAAACTTATAATTAACATTGTTATAACACAGCCATACATATTAATTGCACTTATCCATCAACTACATATATACAACTAACAACATCAGTAACAGAAAATATCAACCTTTTGTTTTATAAGTTTATAAGCCATACCGTCATTTCTTTTGATGCCGGGGTAGGCAGAGACTCTGCGTCATATAGATGCTCATACAATGAACCATTCACGTTGAATCAGTTAATTTGTAAGTCTCAAGTACTTATATTACATAAGCCTATCATTTAGCTTGCTACTATTGAGAAACTGAAAACCATATGTATGTATACTCCCATTAATTCCATTACCCGAGAATAAAATAGGAATTGCTGTGCAACCGGTCTCCCCTTGCTTAGTAATTGTCGTTATAACTACATACCATCTGTTATAATCTTACTGAAAAATATATACAAACTACCTTTTGAGTTTTAAGACTGCAATGCGTAAGGCACTCATAGTGTGGAGTACTGGGCGCTTACTCTTGAAACCAATCTCAATGTCAATGCAATTTCAATCCAATAAAATCTCAATAATTATTCAATGTCAAAACTATACAACCCTAATCGTACTTGTAAAATAGCATTCAGACGTACTCTGAATATAAAGGCAAACTCATTTACCATTTAGTTTATTAAATATCAATGGGCGCTAGCGTTGCATCTTGAGTGTACGAAATTTCACAATACCAATGTCGATCGATCGGAATTGGATTCAAAAATAAGCCTCCAGGTACATCTTCCAGCTGATGATGTACCTAACATAATAGTCTGTTCTTATCATTATAACTTCACGCCTTTTTACCCTCGAAGTGGTAGGCAGACGTGCACACAGCACATAATGCCACTGTACAATGTAACACCCACTTTTCACTATTTTATGTTATGAGTCCCATATTGCCATGCGCTACATTTCCAGACTCCATGCTACTACTGAGATTTTTTTAAAACACAATAATACTTGCCCGACCCTGGAATCGAACCCGAGACCTTGCCTGGCAGTCGCACTTGCGACCACTCGGCGAATGAGGCAGTTTTTATCATTAATTTCTCCTTTTCCAGATAACTAAAGAGAGAATACAAGAACAGCACGGACTCTACATAAACCTCCAATCTTCGCTCAAATGGTCTTTCTTACAAGAGCACTTATACATTACACATGATGACGCTCACAGTGCATCGAATGATAATACTACTTCTTCCAAAGTAAAAGTACCGTTGAGAAGGGTACGTCATGACTCAAGTCAAATAAGCCTGAATGAGATCCTGGCTCAGTGCGTTCCAATGCGTCTCGTTTCACCAATAATTGATTCGGGATCCACGAGTCCACCAGATGAGTCCCAAGATGGTCAAACTTTGTCTGGAGAAATAGCTGATGATAAAGAAAATGATGAGGCGGCCTTTGAGGATGAAGTGTCTTTCGAGGAAATATATTCAGACGAAGAGACAACTGCTGATGATCCGAACCCTGACTCTAATGCTGATGACTTGATGTATTTTGATGTCAATACGAAAGCTGTAAGTCTATAATTTATTAACTAAAAAGCTGCGGGTTAATCACGTGAATATACTGAGAAAAGCTCTACTAGTTTGAGCTGCGCGACGTCGCCGCGACTGCGCACGCTGCTCATGAGGAAGAACCCCACTGTGGTTCGAAACTAGTAGAGCTTTTCTAAGTATATTCACGTGAGTAACCCGCAGTTATTATTTAACTAGCTTCTGCCTGCGACTTCGTACGCGCAATCCCGATATTTCCCGTAGCCGTTCTTGATTTTCGGTTAAAAGTAAAAAATAAGTATTGGGTAAAAAGTATCCTATGTCCGTCTCCTGGTTCTAAGCTACATCCTCACCAATTTTCATCCAAATCGATATAGCCGGTCTTGTGTTATAAATAGTGTAACTAACACGACTTTCTTTTATATATATAGATTTAGTATGTCTCACGATAATTATTATAAAAACATCTATAATTTATGTTTTGTCAATGCTTGGTATATCAGCAACTATGCTGAGGCAATAAGCATATTTAACTAACTTCAAAACAAGATGGAGGTTCTTAATTTGCCCTGTATGTATGTATGTTTATGCGCAATAACGAATTGAGTTTCTTGTTCGTTCTTCTCGATTCGAATCAACATTGTGGAATGAGCACCTAGCTTCACCTAGTTTCACTGACAAACTGACTGACAGACTATTGTTTATTTTGTATTTGTTAACGTTTCAAAAGTTATGGTTTTGTTTTTTCAAAAGTTACCAAATTATGGTTTAATTGAAATAAATGCTTTGACTTTGACTTTGAGCGATTATCTCGCGATTAGCTGAACCGATTTTGATGCGGTTTTCAGAAAAGTGTTTTTTACACTTAGGATGAGGTTTTAGTATATTAATTAACCGACTTCAATAAAAGAGGAGGTTGAAGTCGGTTTATTAAAACGTTTTGTATGAAAGAATTATTTCAATAATAAAATTTTCCCAGCCTACTTAACTTACTTGGACACCCATTCATAGTTCTATAAAAAATACAAGCTAATCTCAGTAGAAATCGAATTAATGCAGTTTGTCCGAAAAGTTTTTAATGTATTCTAAAAATACTTAAAAAAATTGACGCGATCTTTTTTCCAGCGTCGTTCAAAGTCGTTCGTGGCTGACCAGAGCCCGCCAATGTACGCAAAGAAACGGATGGCACTCTCAGATATACAGATACCTAAATCTAGAAAGAAGAAGAAGAAGAAACATAAGTCGAGGAAGGAGAAAGAAGATGACGATTGTGTAAAACGAACATTCCGCATTGAAGTAGTGAAAGTAATAGTCAAATAGTATTTTATTTTAACAAAAGAAAAACTTCTGATTGACTTGAACTAAAAATCGCGGGTTACTCACGTGAATATACTGAGAAAAGATGAGTTGGCTGCGCGACATCGATGCGACCGCACACGCTGCTCATGAGGAAGAACCCCTCTGTGGTTCGAAACTAGTAGAGCTTTTCTCAGTATATTCACGTGAGTAACCCGCGATTTTTAGTTAATTTAGTATGTCTCACGATAGTTATTTACCCGTGTTCCAGTGGAAAAAAATACTCTACGTTATTCCAGACCATAATCTATAACGATCCAAATATCATCCCGATCGCTTCAGCTGTTATGACGGGCACACAAACACACAACCTTTCACATTAATAATATCATATATTACCATCTTATGTGGATGACATGTTAAGTTAATATTTTTATAATATTACACCGTTTTTAATTACAGACAAGGGACCGAACTGAAAAGAAGTATACCTGCAAATATTGTACCAAAACATACTGTTACGGGTAAGCCATTAATGACTTTGTTATTGAACACTTTGTTGGCTGGGCGACCAGCAGCTGCGTACCGTGTTGCGAGCTCAATTCCTGTTGAAATTATGAGTTTGTAAACACACCCATGGCAAATGACACAGAGGATATTCATAACGTCCCAGGTTTTGTTTCAGAAAATTTCATTATTTTTATATTTCAGTTATGAAGCAAAGGACCACTACCTTCTCGGTTGTCCACAACGCCACAGTCCTAGGTCATCGACTGCGAGCTCCGGCGTGAAGACTTGGCAAGAGTGGACGGGAAGCTCTTAGCGTTAGATATTAAAATTTTACAACGGTTGAGCAAAGTGTTGAGTGACAAGAGTTTACTCGCTAGTGACGCCACCTAGTAAGCGCAAAAATGACAAAAGCTTAAATTAGACTTAGCGCTAGTGCTATATAATAGGCTTAGTGCCGATTTTTCCAACGCCAGATAAATTGTAACTGAGGAATAACTGTGAATAAGTATTTGATAATTATGCCATTCTAAAAAGAATTAAGAATTACTTAACTGATGATGGAAAAATCGGGCCTAAGACCAAATTCTATATTATTCATATCAGTAAATAATGTAGAAAAATTTTTAGCCTTTTCAAATGTAATTATGGAAAGATCTCACATTTAAAAGTGTAAATAAAATAGTCTCCATTTTAAATTAGGAAATTAATTTCAACTTTGGTCTTAAGTAAATATTCATATTGTGATTTCTAAAATCTGTATGTTATTTAACTACACACAGGTATCTGTCTGTCTTCTACTATTTTCAAATCGAACAAAGTAACAAGATTTCTTTATAAAAAAAGTGAATATTGTGTCCTTCAATTATTAATATAGCTTTACGTTTTATTCTTGTGTAGTTTCCATCTTGTCCTATTGATTTCGAGCTCGACCGTAATTTGCACGCAGTTTTGAGGCCTTGTACGAGTTTTTTTACCTGTAAAGTAACCGTAACGAGTACGCGTTCGGCGCTCTGATTGGTTGGTTCATTGGCGCCGGCCAATCAGAGTGCCGAACGCGTACTCGTTTCGAAACTAGTCAGTACAGAGGCCATAGTACGAACTAGTCTGAAGTTAGTAGGTATTATAACAGATTACGTGTCTTTTTAAAAATAAAAAGGAATCATTGTGCGTAAATATAAAAAAAAACTTGAAATACTTCTTACTTACTAAAAAACTAATAAAATTTGAGTCTGAGTGACCTCATTGGTATTATTAGTTGTTTTACTTGTATTTTTTTTTTGTCTTATTTCCTGTGAATTAAACTATCAAACACCAAGCGGTCACCGGTGACCGCAACCTATTGTTCTATAATTGTGTCTATAATGACGGGACTCAACGAGTTAAATAGAAACTTGATTGACAATTATGAAAAATCAGAAGTAATTTATTTGCCAAAAATGTAGGTAACAAATATGTTGTTTTATAACTTATGGAGAGTCTCGGTACATTTTGCCTTACGGCATCCAAAATCATTGAATTAATTGAATACATTGTTGATACTTTTACATCTAGTTAACATTTCTATAATTAAGTAGGATATGAAATATCTACTGCATCGTATACAAAACTGTGTGATGAAAAAATATATTAGACAGGTTGTTTGATACATGGAAATTGAATAAAACAATTTTCTAGCTTTGATCTTAAAATATTTATTTAAGTAGGTACTTACACAAAATACCTCTAAATTAATTTGTGCGTAATAATCACATATACCTTGAAGGTAATTCCTAATAAGAGGACATTCTTGCAGCCTTAGGTATAATTTTATTTAACTTAAAACTACATTTCCCTTAAAATTCAGTACAATGTAGACGAATATTTAATTTTATTAAAAGTATTTTATGTTATGGGCGTTTTCACCCACCATCCCTAAACTATTTCAACTCAGAGTTATTTAGCCTGAGGGAGCACTTAAATTAGTTCCTTGCTTGTGCTGTTAGGTGTCACAAAAAGGTGGTGAAAACCAAAATGTTGTTAAGGCCTACGCATACCGGAACGGCATGGCAAGGGATTAAAATTTTTACTTACTAATGGACTTTTAAACCGTGTGGCATCGAAAGGAATTTCACGGCATTGAAAGACTGGCCGCAAGCTCCCGCGGCGGAGGCCGTGGCATAGGTACCTACTGACTGCGGTAGGCAACGGCGTGCATAGGACTTCCGCGCTTGTTACATGCCGCGGAGTAAGGCGGCAAGGGTTGAGCAGCGAACGAATCTTAAAAATTTCTTCTACAATAATCGATATCAACACCAAATCCATCTATATCTACCATTTTAAAACTGAGGCACATCAACAGGTTGATAAAAACAGGCCTCAATCTTTCTCTGAATATGATCTTAATCTATTTTATCACAAGTTGCGGCCCAGGGCTTATCTTCTCCTTGTAGGGATATCGAGAGGATGGGCAGGTCATTCGGAGGGTTAGTGTTAGCTATATCACAGCCTATGATCTGGTGGAACTTTGCTACGTCCCTGTAACAAAAAAAAATCTACCATAATTCACCGCTAAATGAAGACCAGATCAATGTGTCATAATCACCACACTGGATGATAGCGGAATTTCCAGGATAAAAAGCTTGCTCATAGCCTATGATAAAACTCATAACATAACTGGAGAAAGTTATGAAAGACAAAAAAACGCTTTCGGCGTGGATGGACCGCCTTAACGGACATGATACTATGACCTCACAGAAAACTTCTTCTTCTTGTTTAAAAAACGTTGCCCCACATTAGGATTTTCTCCTGTGTCGTGGGTGCGTTTACAAACATACAAGTTCACATACACAATGACACCCAGTGACCCAGACCCGAAACAACAATTTGTTGAAAAACTGGCGAGTATATTTTTGTTGGAGGAAAATCATCCAATGATTTCTCCCGCCCAGGTGAGGCGAGAGGGAGTGTCAGCCTCTTATTGACTAAAAACCACCCTGTTCCTACACTTGCACTTCAAGCCGGAGCCCCGGTAACCCGTTAAGTCCTCCGCGGCTCCATATCGGCATCAGCCCTTTTGGACCCCATCTGTGGTGGTCTGATGGCGCCTAGAGAACGGAACGGAACGCGACGCACCGTGCGCTCTAGAGGTAGTCTGATTCTGGTCGGACGGCGAGTTACCCGTGCTCGCTGCCCACAGGCTTACGATGGCTGGAGATCGTCTCACGATCCCCGACACCTGAAGTGTCTGTCGCGACGGCTGGGGCGTGAGGAAGTTCGTTCCTTCCCGCACCCCGCCTTCTAAGGAGGAGCCAAGATGTATTAGCACTTGCGTTCACTATATGATTGCTCATTCCCTCCAAAGACGCACTTGTAACTCCTGGTGTTGGGCGGCACCAATTGTTGAATCAGGACAGAGGCGGATTATTAGAGAGCGCCCTATGCGAGCACATCATAGATGCCTTTAATTTTTTTGGCGCTGCCGCCACTCTTTGAGCAGTTAGGCACGCGCGTCTCGTGGTCTTGTCTGGTCTCCCTTTAACCTGGTGCCCTAGGCGTTTTCCTTATGAATAAAACGGCTCTGTTAAGAGCTATTCTCACCGATTATTAAATTCCTTTCTGCACCCTCTGCAGCGGTAGAACCAAACATGTAAGCGCATGGAATGAGCCTTCAGTTCATTTACAGTTTGGAAACGGAGCAGACATACATTGCACTGATGCTTTCCTGAAGTCTGGAAAATATTAAAATAAGGAGGTCAATACGATTTTATTGTAAACTGCTTGTTGGCAGTGATCGCACGCGCGATTTCCTAATAGCTGACTTGATTCTCGGGACGGTACTTCGCCTCAACTTGCTTTACAAGACCCCATTATGTTTTTGGTGAATTATGGTAATAGAACTTTTTGCAAGAGCTGTCAACCTGTGTTTTTTAGAACCCTTCAAAGTTTAACATATCCAACCTGGAAGAGCCTGAGAGAATAGATTGCTTATAGGGTGTCCTCTATTATAGGCTGCAATATCGCTTACTACCAGGCGAAACAATGTCGAAACGCCGACCTACAGTCAATAAAAAAAGTACGCCCCTATGTGAAATAGGTAACCGGTGCTCAGAGTGTGTACTTACAACAACATGTTTAGCAAAATGTTTCCGCAACAGATTTCCAGCAGCAAAGTCCAAATTACAGACACGGCAGACCAATACTTTCAGGGAGTATTCTGGTCTAGTCTGTATTGTGTACAGCCAAACTTTTATTTGTTCACGTACCTGTAAAATTACATTAATTATTTTGAATTAGCGCCCGTGTTTGACACAGGTGTTATTTAATTTTCAATATAATAATAGTATCACCGGTATGTCGATAATGTAAAAGTACTTTCGCAAATCCCGAATGAATGGATTTTCCAAATAAGATTTCTTCATTACTTTCTTTATTTTAGTTTTGATTGCCTCCTTTCTAGCATACTTTGGCCTCGGTTGCAAAGATTGTGATATTCCTGTTCTGCACTAGAATGAAGAAAAAAAACATTGATTAGCTGATATCCAATTATATGTGTTAAAAATTAATAACATTTCAGATATTTTGAAAAAACCTTATTTAGGATTAAGTAGAGATTGGATAATCATAGGTAATGGCACATAATATTGAATGGCACATGATATACATCCAAATTTCTTCAATTTGTGCCTTCGATATAGCGAGATGAATGGGGAATAGCTTGGATTAGCTCATTGTTGCGGGAAATGTTGAGGGGAGAAGAGCAAGAGAACGATTCCCAGCCAGATGGTTTGACCAGAGGCCTTAATACGCTCTGATTGGCTGGTGCCAATGAAGCAACCAATCAGAGCGCCGAACGCGTACTCGTTACGATTACTTTAAACGTAAAACAAACTCGTACTAAGGCCTCAGCTCAACAACAACCCAACATCGAGATACTACATCACAATACGAATGACCGCTGACGGCAGCCTATGGAGACAATTCGTCCGATCCAGAGTGACGTAACGATGATCACGATTCTCAGTCATGAGGGGACAATCGAAAAGGACACCCATTTTTACCAATTATGTTGTAAAGCCTATAGAATAGGAGAGACTAACTGCTATATAATAATCGCGTGCCTTGGGAATCAAATGGGAGACCTCTTGCTCAGCAGTCGCTCTTACAACGATTTGACCAAAGAGGCAGTTCTCGTAATTTATAGTTAAGTTTATCTTACATACCCTTTTCAATGGTTGTGCATCTTTGTAAGGTGTTAAGCTAATAAAATCAGCATTTGAATCACTTTCATCAGAAGAAACTTCAATGACTATATGGGGTCTCTTAATTTCTATAACATCATCATCATCTTCATCATCGGTGTCATCAGTATTTTCTTCATCTTTGATTACTTCATTCTTGATCGCAGATTCTTCTTCTTTAAAAACTTTCCAAATTTCTTCTTTTAAAATTTCTTTTGCAATTTCTTCTTTTGACATTGTGTCTTCTGTAGTTTCTTTATCTTCCATTGATGGAACATCAAAGTTTAATGTTTTATTAGGTATAAAATTAGGTTTTACTGTATGCGAAGTTTTTGCGTCCTCATTATATATGATTATGGTTGGCTCTTCTGATTGTTCCATTTCTTTCACTGTAATGTCTGTTTTCTGAAAAATAACACAGGTATGGTAAGTTAAATAGTGTATCGCTCATGGTATTAATCACCAACAATGCGTGACAGTGAACTGTTGGATTATGGACCTCTTGTTTGTTATAATTAATCTCCATACTTCGCTGGTGGGTTGGAGATCTTAGCTCAGGATCAAATTTATTCTATTAATCTTAGGTCTCTAGCATAGCAGCAGCAGCTTCTAATCTAAGTACATATTTTTAAACTGTCTTAATATGGTGCAATACAATATTAGATCCGCCCGTTTAAAAAGTCTCTGAACTGAACCAACTTATTATATTAACTACTAGCTTCTGCCCGCGACTTCGTACGCGTAATCCTGTTTTTCCAGGAAACTAAAACTAAACTAAACTTTTTTTTTTCGAACGGGATAAAACGTATCTTATGTCCGTCTGCTGGTTCTAAGCTACCTCCATACCAATTTTTAGCTAAATCTGTTCTGCCGTTTTTGAGTTATAAGTGGTGTAACTAACACGACTTTCTTTTATATATATAGATTGTTAATATCCTTCAATCCACAAATATTTATTCGAATATTTAATAAATCCATGACAAATTAAGTTATAAAATACATATTTTCATAAAGATGGTCACTTACAATTTGAAATTCTTGATAAGTTGCTGCATTAAATTTTCATTTCGTACAATTTCAAAGAGTTAAAAAAAATAGCACATGACTTGCGATTAAGGTACCTACTTATATTAAGTATTTGATTATACTTAACAAAAAATATTGTATGGAAGGTACTAAGCAAGCTTCATGTACTGTTCCCTACCCTCAACCCTTTTATAATAATATTCTCTTTGTCTACCGTCTACTGCACTCAACAAAACTAAACTGTTTTAACTTACTAGTTTTCATAGTAGTTACCGCTAAAAAGAAATATTATTGTGATCGAAATGAAATTTGAAGTAAAGTTGCGACCCGTAATTCGTGAATGACAAAATTTAAGTAAACATTTTAACTCTACAATAACATGTTCGTGGAACAAATTATTATTTACAAATTAATTTACTGTCAACGTCAAGACAAGATGTAGGTATTTTCTGTCATTGTCAAAATCATACGGTTTTATTTATTGTTGTTATTGAGTAAAAATGTACTAAATTTTAATTTAAAATTGAACTGATATTAAATAAAACGATGGTATGCTACTGTTGTGTCCAAGGTTGTGGTAACAACAGCAATATAAAGAAAAAAGATCCAAATTCCGTGATATCATTTCATGCGTAAGTCTCGTACAATAAAAAATAGATTTAATTTATTATTTTTACTCTGATTACAACTTCATTAAATTTTTTATTAGATTTCCTTCAAACAAAGAGCTAAAAACGAAATGGTTGAAGGCTATAGGACGTCCAAACTGGATACCTGCTAATCATGCGCGCATTTGTAGTGCACATTTTAATTATGAGCAAATTAACTATGATGGTTGCAGAATAAGGATCAAAGATGATGTTGTTCCCGTTAATTTATTACCTGTAAGTTACTTATTGCATTTTCACTAATATATTAGGTATCTAATTTATTACCTTGAGTTTAATATAACTATATTTATATAAGAACAATAAATATATTTATATAAGAACTTACTTTAAATGAGATTTACTTTAAAACTTTAAAAGAGATACAAAGTACCTACCTAAAATAAATTAAGTCCAATCCACTACTGGGCTATATTCTAGAAAGTTAAAAAGGAACTAGTGGTTGACCAGTGTTACTCTGTCTAACTAACTACCTAGGTATGGTCAAAGGTCAACAGTCCACTGCCACTGTAAGACTACTATCGGTTGCGCTGCAGCGCTTATACACACATGCACATGCATATTTTTATACATGTGTGTATGTGTGCGTGTGTTTATGCGTACACACACATTTTTATGCACATTAATATGATATTACTTACGTTTTGCCATGTGAACATCACTCACGGGGGCAGTGAACTTTTGACCTTTGACTGTGTATCTATGACATTTAACAACTGGGCCCCTTTAACCATCGGGTCCCTTACACAGCAAGCTCCTTTTAAGAAATGGGCCCCTCAACAGTTACAAAATATAAAACAATATTAACATTGGTAAATCAAATTTATAGTGAAGAAATTAATTTGATTTAATAATTTCAGCCTAACTCCAATTTTGAGGCATCAAATGTGGAAGCATGCAGGATTTGTTTGGCCACAGATATTCAGTTATGCAGTCTGAAAGATTCACAACTTGGAGCATGTATGGAGACTATAGCTGGAGTGAATGTAAGTATTTTATCTCTGATCTGATCAGTTCACCTTGGTATAATTGAGTAAACAGCAGCCATATACACAGTCTGTCTCCTGTTTATATTTCTTTTACATCAAGATATAACGTGTTGGCAGTAAACAATCATTCGTAGGCCTGTAACAATGTGTATGAGAAATCGAAAGCAATCATTACAATGATTATTATTTGCATATTGTGTGTACTTAGAACTTCGATCAACAATAACAACTAGATATCGGGTCGGCGCAAGAAAACCGTCTCGACAAATAAGAGCTCACTTGAGAAGTGAGCTCTTATTTTGTTTAGTATGCTCCAAACACGGCCAACGTACTCACGTCTCACGATGCCGCAGTGCATAATTGCAAGTTGCAAAAATAATAACCGAAAAAGCAGTATAACGGCCGGAGTGTCTTACTTTTGATAAGTACATAAAATATAAGATATATTTTAAGCTTTTAAACTAGAAAATAATATCAAATTAGTCAAAATTACCAATTATAAACCAACGCCACCAATGTTTGTGCGTGTGTTGGCGATCCCTTGGCCAAACTTCGCCAACACGAGCACAAACATTTGTTTAAACAGAACAGTGGATGCATGGAGTCCATATGTATTGGAAAATAAAATTGTATTGTAACCTGATTGGAAATTAGTATCTAACCTATGGAGTTTATTGCTCGTTCTTCTCCATAGGAATCTACACCTTGGAATGAGCAATTAGCTTCACTTTTAAATTTATATTGTTGAAGTTCAAAAGTGCCTTCCTGGTCTAACTGAAATAAATGATTTTGACTTAGACTTTTAATGATAAAATAAATAAACATATCATACACAAAAACGTACCGCTAATAGAAATAAGTGATGTAAGTACCTATACTAAGATCCCGAAATCTTAATTTTCATATTATAAAATTGTTTTAGTGTCCAACGCGACTCCATACGTACCTCCTGTAGCAAAATTCGAAATTTGAAGAAGCAAAACGAAACAAAACAAAACGATATAGATCGCAAGACAATAATAGAAAAATTATCTTTATTTGTTCAATGTTAAGGTTGAATTCAAACTAGATATTGTATAACTTATGTCTTTTAATTTCTACATGACAGGAGTAAGAAAATACTTTTCTCGTCTTATGTGACAAATGGTCGTAAGTATTAGATAATATTTTGACGATTTATGACTATATTATTAGGTGCGATGATTGTTATTAGGTTGAACTTAAAACCATTTTAAAACATTTTTCTCTGTTGTTATCGTTTTACTATTATTATTCACACGGACAGAACTGGAGCTTGATTTTGTACGTAACCCGTTATCTAGTTGCTATTGTTGATCGAAGACTTAGAAGCTTAAGAATAAACACATTTGCAGTATCTTTTTATTTTTTTATTGTTTATGAAACCGCTTGAAGAGTTGCCATTCAATTTTGTTGACTTAGTTTAGTTCTGTTATGAGTAGCATAAACACACAGGGGTATGATTATAATTATACAGACTTAATTTTATTATCTATGACCTGATATTAAAATTGTTTTTTTTTTTATTATATTTTTAGCAAAATGGAATGTGTTTGGAAGGGTTACCACAATATGTGTGCTACCAGTGTGCACCAATCCTAATGAAATTCCACAAACTCATTGAGAAATGTATGTTTTCTCAAACTATACTGCTGGATATATTTGTTAAGAATGGACAGGTATTCTTTTGGTCAATAACAAATACAACTTGAACATATTTTTATAGTGATGTTAAATATAAAAAAAATGTGGCTACTTCATGGTGTTTGATTAAGTGTCTGTTGGCTTAACTGACCAATATTTTGACAAATGATCAAATTATGTATCTACCTATATTTGTCTAACAGAAACATATCAGACATTATAAACAGGTCATTATTATCAAGCCCGGAACATGTTTAGATGTTTTTCCACTTTGTGTTGTATATTTTACATTCAAACTGCTTTCAGATCACAAAATCTCTAATAGAACAACAAAACAAAGTAACAGATTCAGTGTCTGCATTAGCAAGTACAGAAGAATTGAACAATTATTTAGTAAGATGTGATGATGTCAACTCTTCTCCATTCCCTACAAACTCGTGTGATATTTATTGTAAAAGTGAAGATAATACTCATGTTGATTCTAGTAGTTATACCGTCCAAAGTGCGGAATGTAAAGTTGAAATGCATGGGGAGGAATTATGTGCCAATTTTGACTTAGAAGAAGATAAAACAAACTGTATTATATCAATTGCAAGTCTGCAGGTGGATAAGGTTGAGGATGTAAGATAGTATTCTTATTATAACTTATACATAACATCATGCGTTTTATCCCCAAAGGGATAGGCAGAAGTGCACATTACGACACTTAATGCCACACAATGTAACACCCACTTTTTTACGTTATGAGGCCCATGAAATAAGGGGTGAGCCTATTGCCATATACCGGGCACAATTCCAGACTCCGTGCTACTACTGAGATTTTTTTAAACCCAGTAATACTTTGCCTGACCTGGGAATCGAACCCGAGACCCTTTGCCCAGCTTTCGCCCTTGTGACTCGTGTCGGCCAACGAGGCAGTTTTATTATTTATTATAACTTGTAGCTGTTTATCTCAGCTCAATAACTTTGAATTTGCACCATAATTTTCTTCTATTTTTCTGCTTTAGATGAATAATGGAGGAGTAAATTTAAATAAGTAGGCCTTTTTTTACAGATAAATTTGAAATCTAAGAAATATACAAAAAAAGAAACGACGGCAAAAAAAATCAAAGGGCTTACACCAGATGAGAGTAATATGCTAAAATATTTTGATATCGTCGAATTATCGGTAAGTTATATTTGTATGTGTTCATTCTATTACCTAAGGTTCCTCTAACTAGGAGCCCTCAACATCACAAGCTTGGCATCACAACTTAACAACTGAAGCCCTTTAACAACCATGCCAATTAACAACAGGGCTCCCTTAATAAGTGGGCCCCATTAACAACTGGGCCCCTTTGACAACTGGGCCCCTTTAAAAATCGGGCGCCTTAATAACTGCATCCCTTTAAAAGGAGTATTTA